GTTCCGGGGGGGGGGGTTGGGTTGGAAGGGATAGACTGGAATTTCAAAATTGTAGAATAGATAAACAAGATTACACTGTATAGCACAGGGAAATATACACAAAATGTTATGATAAATCACAGAGAAAAAAATGTGACAATGAGTGTGTATATGTCCATGAATGACTGAAAAATTGTGCTGAACACTGGAATTTGACACAACACTGTAAAATGATTATGAATCAATAAAAAATGTAAAAAAAAATAATGAGCTCTATGTCTTAGGAAATAAAGAGGTGTTCTTACTCATGAGAAAAGAGAACATATATCCTTCTTATGCCTTCTCTTCTTTTCTGTGTGTGAGGAAGCCCAGGAGGGAGGGCGGCAGAGGATCAGGAAGGTGCTAAGAGAGTAAGTGTCTGAGGATACTTGAACTTCATATTAGAATCCTGGGAAGGAGCTTTAAGAAAATGAGATTGGGTTTCAGCTCCCTGTGAAGACAAGTTCAAGGGATAATTATTTTGATTACAGATTCTGGAATACTGGTTTGACACTGAAGGCCTAATAGGGTCATAGGTGTTTAAATCCTGCTGTGGGAGGAACTCATGGGACTGTGAGTTTTGTGCATTGAACTTCTGGCTGTGTTACTGGGGTCAGTGGTGGCTGAGGCCAGGATTGCAACAGTAAAGTCCCAGCAGTCTCAAAGATTGCCAGATAAAGTTTTGCTGAAATATTTGCATGCAAAAGGCCAGCAACATCTCCTCAATCTGTCCTTTTCATTAATTTACTTGATAAATATTTACTGAACACCTGGCTATGAGTCAGACATTATACTAGACATTGGAATTATAGCAGTAAACAAAATAGACTAAAATCCCTGACTTCCTAGAGGAGGTCGTTCTAGTGGGGGAAGTCAGATAACGAATAAAACATTGGTGTGTTAGAGAGTGATGTGTCCTATGAAAAGTAAAGTAGGAAGAGGGGACAGGAGTGTGTGTGTGTGTGTGTGTGCGCGCGTGTGTAGGGGATGGGGTGCAATTTTAAATAAGGTGACCAAGGAAAGCCCTTGAGAAGCTAACATTTCCGCAAAAGACCTGGAGCTGAGGGAGGAGCCATGGAGTTTTTTGGGAGAACATCCCAGGCTGATGGAGCCACTTGTGAAAACTGTGAGGAAGGAGCCTGTGTGACCTGTGGGAGGAACAGCAAGGAGCTCAGACTGTGTGATGCCGAAGGAGCAGAGGAGAATGAGAGACAGACAGACACAGAGAGCATGAGTGAGGGCACTCAAGCCCAGTGATGTGGCCAGTGGGGGGAGAGGTGTGGTTCACCTTCAAGGGAAACAATTTGTTACCCATATGGCATGGTAATTACATTTTTCCCACTCTTCCACCACCCCATATTCCTGTCTAATTTAAGCAGATCATTAGGCTCTAGGTTACATTATCTCCAGGATGATTTGTGGCAGAACAGAAAGCAGAAAACTGCCTCCAGACACACCTCTTTCTGGTTTCATGTCTGAAAGTCTAAATCTGTTGTGAAGGATAAATTTAGAGGAAAAACAGAAGGATTTCCCCAAACTTAAAGAATTTCTGAGTCCTTGGAGGAACCAAGGTCTGTGGGTTCTGCAGGTAGCAAGGGCTTCAGGGAATGGCTCTGTTCAAGCACTGAATATTTTACCACGCTGACAGGATGAGAGCTGAAAGTCAGAATAGGATGGACTCAAAGGAAATAACAGAAATGTGATCATATTTCTTTGAGTTTGTGGATCAAGATTCATGTCCCTACAAGTTGCTGTTGTAGAAACACATTCATAGGGTTATCATCTCTTTTGGGGAAGATTGGTTCTGTCCACGTGTACTGAGAGTTAGGTGGAAAAAGAGGTGAGAGTGACATTGATGAGAGCGTTAAGAATGACTTTAATAACGGTAGCAAACAGAACCATACTCTTACTTATCTAATCCCCTTTCATTCACTGCTTGCAAAAAATAGGAGAAAAAAATAGTGACACCAGTAGTGTCATATATACTTAATCTTAAAATATAAACTATGCATTTCTTTAAATTATAATTTTTTTTGTAGATGAGAAGGTTGATAATGAGAGGAATTGTCAAAGTTAGCAAATTTAACTTATCAGATATTGTGGCCGATTATGAAGAAATTGTATCTGCAAGGTATATACTAAAATTATTATTATTTAAGTGTGCAATATAAAGCTTTAAGCCAATACCTTCTAAGTCTTCTAATAAGTTCTCTATTTTTACAGTAATTAAATTAATGCTAAAAAATGCAGTTGCAAAGCATAAAGTAAAATATAATGACTTAAATATATGTGATCATTTTAAAATTGCATTTTGGACATATCTATATGATATGTTTTTCAACTGTATAATATTCTAGTTTTTAACCCTCTCCTTATTGATATTTTTTAGGGCAAGAAAGAAAAGTAAAAGAAATGCTTTTATCCCAAGTTAGTTTTGCCATAAGATTTTCCTGTCCTGAGACTGCTACCAGAAAATCGTTGATGGTAGCACCACACACTAAGCCTATAATCTCCCCTTTCAAAACTGAATCCTCAGCCATACAAGGGCTCCGTGATCTACAGGCAGCAGTTGAGGGAGAATTTGGCTGAAGCAACTCAGTTTTCATACTGTCCTATCTGAAACGTAAGGGTGGGAACAGGAATTAGGCATGCTCTGTTTCTGGGAAACCTCCCTGGGGTCACTTGCAGATTCTTAGTATTAACAGTACGGTCTGATTTGGTTTAGGGAGCTGAACTCTATTGTGTTTTATTTTCAGTCTTTGGAGGAAGATGGGTGTGACCATAAAGCTATAATTCCATAGTTTTGTGTTGCAAGGGTTGGCAGCATATTTAACTAACTCCTATTTCAGAACCATATAGAAAAATTGAGTATCTAACCACTTTTCAAGAGAGAGATTCCTGAAAAATAAATGATCTTTTGAAATAACATCATCTTTCATGGAATACCTCTCCATGCCCTTGTCTCTTCTTGGACCATGTACCCAAAGGACATAGAGCCATCATCTTCTCTCTTAACATAGCATCTCTTCTATGTTCAGAAAAAGACTCTTTCCTTGGGTTTAAGGCAAATGTCTCCCCTCCACAATGGAGAGAACGTGGTTCAGAATAATGGCCTTATTTATAATAATTAATTTAAAAAACTGGTATCTTTCAAATCTTAGCTTGTCTTGTATATATGTGGCTGATCATTTTTTACTCTTTAGCCAGTTGACACATGCAGTTTGTAAGCTTCTGGAACGACGAAGAAAGTTAAAGCCTCAGAGGAAAGACAGGAAAAAAGTGGCTGCACAGACAATTTGTGATGGAGACATCAAGATTCTTGTCAGAATACTGAGAGCTTATAATATTCCAACGAGGAAGACAATAGTTAATAGGTAAAGCAGTATGTACCATTTTTTGGAGTTGCAAAAGATCAAAAAATCTGTCTTAAATGTAAATCTCCATACTATCTTCTTAGTAAAACTTTGCGCTTTGTTAATGTTCCACATACAGAAGCTGAATAAATCTTGAAATCTTCATTTGGATAGTCAAACTTACTGTCACTGCCATGTACTAAAAGTTTTCAGACGTTTGGGATGTCCGAAGGAACTTTAACATGTATATTTTTGGGTGGTGCATCACATAAATGCCTTCTGTCCCTATTCCCTATTGTGAAAACTTGTTACGCTGCTATTGCCAGCTGCACTGTTCTCTGCCACTGTCCCCTCACAGTGCTGGAAGTAGAATGCTGGAGAGAGTAGTTTCTGTTGTGCACTTGTCATTTTAGGTGACTTCTGCAAAAATCAGATTTTTCCCATCTTTTCTGCAGGTACTCAGTGGGTTTTATTTGTGTTTCTTGGACAAAGGCTATGTGGGGTCAGAATGGCCAAATGAAGGCATCAGGAATATTAAACGCTCTTGTATATACGGCATATCCTGAATACCAAATGTCTCGTGTGTTTAGTCTCATGTGTAACTCATATGTTATGAATATTTAGTACCCAGGTATCTCAGGAATATTATGTATCTCTCTCTATGTTTAACACATATGTGCTCTACTTGCTCGTTTACCACATCCCATGAACTCTGCGCATGAAAAACAAATATTTTGCTTATTAGCTACTAATCTACGGTAAAAACCTTTTAAAGGTTTTGCCTATGTTTTATAAAATACAACCTTATTTATAATAGAATTTTTATTCTCAAAACAAATGCCCATTTCAAGGCTGTTTTGTGAAATAAGGACATTATAAAATGACCACCACTTTCTATTAGTAATCAAACTGTAATAGAAAGAATATTTTAACACCAAAAATAAGAATAATATCGTCTCAAAGTATTACTTGCCTTATTTTTCTCCTCTTGCTGAGGATCAGTGAAAACTTTATCATAGACTGGTTCGAATCCATAGTTCATTATTTAGGAGCTACCCTTTCAGAGGAGTGATTATCAAATATGTGTCTCTAACCACCTACGATATGAAGATCCAGAACAAACCCTGTAAGATCCGGGGTAACTGAGTTACACATTTCTATAAACATAAGCAAAACCCCACCCACTCCCACCAAAACTAATATTAAAATAAGTTAAAGTGTATATCTCTATATTGTTTTTCCTGAAGAGCCTTGGATATGCCTACTTACTTGATATCATCCATGTCTGGCCTCAGGCAAAAAGAAACAATCAAATCAGTAGCCTCATATGGAATCTTAAATGAGGTAAGTATTTAACTCTTCTGTAAAGTGCAGTTTTGATCATGTTTACCTTGAATTGCAACTAGCCCCTAATTAGTCTCTCCATCTCTGATCTCTTGGGCTTCTAGTTTACTCTCCATCACACAGGGAAGGTGCTTTTTATGAAATGTAATTCCTACCATTTCATTCCCTTCTCCTTTGCTCTCAAGATCTGTAGAATAAGATGCAAGCTCCGTAGAATGGCGACAAAAATCTGTAATGGTCTGGTTCTTACCTACCAGTTGGCCACGTTTCTCTCCACCCCACAGCAGTATCTGTGCTTGGTCCAGAAGGCCCCTGTACATGTCCTTCCCTCTGCCTGGAATGGCCACCGTGCAGTGCAACTCCAGGTTACCGGCCACATGAACTACCATTTAAAGTTTCAGAGCCCAAGCCCAAGCAACGTTTTCTCTGTGACATTCTCCTTGTCCTCACCCCAGAAAGTTAATCATTCCCTCTCTTGCGTAACTGTTATGCCTGGAATATATTTCTTTTATTTCTCACTTTTCACTTCAATTATTTTTTTATCTGTTTATTTTCCCCTGATAGACTTAAGATAAAAATCCTTAAGGAAAAGTTCCATATACCTTTGGTACCTTTGATCCCAGCAAAGTAGTACCTGATATTGAAGAGGGTGAAGAAATGTTTATTAAATTAATGAATAAATAATGGTTATTTGAAAAAACTAGAAAAAGTATGTTATCTAGTTGTCAGCCAGTAACTAAGTAATTCCCTAGTCTGCTACCTTTTATCAACTATATAAAATATTACAAAAATCTAGTCAGTGTTTATTGTGTTTCAGGATACTGTACACCCTTTTGTCGAAGTTTCCTTTCAGCACACTGTATACCAAACCAGTATTGCAAGTGGATCTCATCCATGCTGGAATGAAGAAATTAAAGTAGATTTTATGTAAGTGGGAATCTGTTTTTCCTCAACTCCTAAAAAAAGAGCAATAACAAAATTATTTTCTTGAGCCATTTATTGAAAATAATGGTTGAGACAGGCTTAATTTTAAGCTTTTAAATTATGAAATATTTCTTACATATGTGTTAATACATAAAGTATATATAAATGTAAGTTCTGAGGGAAAATGATAAAATGAATACCTGTATATCTACCATCTAGCTTGAAAATGGAATATCACTAGTATTTTTGAAGGCCCCACTGTTCCAATACCTAGCTGTATCCCCTTTCCTTCCCCTCAGATGTAGCAACCATGAATTTGTGTTTATCACTCCCTCTCTTTCTTACTGATTTTACGTCATAGGTATTTATCCCTAACTATGTTTTATTTACTCATGGATATTTTTCAACTTCATGTAAATTGAATCATCTTTTGCAATCTTGATTCCTTATTCTTAATTATTTTGAGAGATTCATCCATATTCATACTTGTAACTATCCCTCTCTCCTTCCTTTCCTTCCTTCATTTTCATTTCTGCATAGTATTCCACTGTGTGAAAATGCCATAATTTATTTGTGCTTTATCCTGCTGATTGATGCACATTTGCCTGGTTTTAATGTTTTGCTGTTGCAAATAGTGTTATCTGAACATTCTTGTACTTGTCATCTGGAACACACGTGTGAACGTTCCTTTTTAAGACAGCAGTTCTCAAACTATTTTGTGCACTGAAATCACCTATACAGCTTCTTAAAACAGGCTGCTGGGCCCAACTCCATGGTTTCTAATTCAGCAGCTCTGGGGTAGGGCTGATACATAATTCCATTTCTAACAAGTTCCCCAGTGTTACTGATGCTCCTAGTCAGGGGACACTCTGAAAACCTCTGTGCTGGGATCTGTGTCTAAGAATGGAACTGCTTCAACTTTCCTAGCACTTGCCAAACTTTTTTGTAAAGTGCTTGTACCGACACACACTCACAACAGCAATATGGAACTTCCTGTTGTGCCACATCTTCAATAATAGTTTGTATTTTAAAAACTAATTTTTCTAGTATGATGGATCTTAAATGATGTTCTTATTGTGATTTAATTTGCATTCCCAGATTTCTAATGAGATTGTTTCTTTTTTTTTCCATTTTAAGAAATTGATAGATTTTTATCTTTTAGAGCAGTTTTAGGTTCACAGTAAAACTGAGCAGAAAGCACAGTTCTTATATATCCCCTCCCTACAACACACACACACAGCCTCCCTCAGTGTCAGTGTGGTACCTTTGTTACAATCAATGGGCCAATGTTGACACATTATCAGCTGAAGTCCACAATTTACATTAGAGTTCACTCTGGGTTGTACATTCTGTGGATTTTGACAAATTCATAATGACATGCATCCACCACTGTAGTATTATTCAGCATACTTCTACTGCCCTAAAAATGCCCTGTGCTTCACCTATTCATCCTTTCACCCTTCCCCGGAACCTCTGGAAACCAACTTTTTACTGCCACCATAGTTTTACCTTTTCCAGAGTGTCACTGAATGTCAGGGTTCTCCAGAGAAACAGAACCAATAGTGTGTGTGTGTGTGTGTGTGTGTGTGTGTATTTTGAAATCAGGAAGCGAGAGCTCCAGCTTTGTTCTTTTTCAAGATTCATGTTTGATGCTAAAGCTATGTAAATAGGTTTTGGTAATTGAAAATAAAGTGCAATGAACAAGAAAAATTTGAAATATAGAGTTTAAAATTGTTTTCTAAACTCCATTAGCAGTTTTCAGTTGTCACTTCCTATACAGCTATAGCTCTCACTAGGGTGAAAGGAATATAAGGAACTGTCTACTATATCCATTATCCAAGTCCCTTCTCTTTTCCTGATGCCCTTTCCCCCTTCTGCCAATCTTGTTCAACTTTCTCAATTTCTGCAGATTATGTGTTTCCTGCCTATTTGCATGGTTCTTTGATGATATCACTCTGTCTTTTTAACTCCTAAATTTCTCCTGTTTCTTGAATGCCAACCTCTTGGTCTCCTGGCCGTCGGGCTTCTTGTGTTGTTTTTCCCTCCACCATCTGTGTTCTTGACCTTGACTCTTTGTGAGTGGGTCCTGATTTCCAGGATAAAACAATCTGTCTATCCCCTTCACCCTCCAGTCACTCTGTTTCCTGCAGGATTGTCCTGACTATAGGCTTTAACCAGGAAGTGCCGTATTCAGTCAGTCACTTTCCAAGCAAACTAAAAGGCTTTGGTCCCAGATGCAAGCACAGAACCACCAACCCACCAGTACCTTCCCCAGAATCCCCTCACTCCAGTACTGGTCCCATTGAGGGAAATTGTATGCTCTATGTGAATGGTCACATCCCAGCCACCACACCTCAAAGTAAAAACCTCCAAACCCTAACCAGAATTTGCAGGGAGACAGAGAGACTCTGTTTATGCCATTATTTCAACTTGGGAAGAAAAATCCAAATAGACCAGTATACCTTAGAATCTGTTAGCGTAGGTGCTGTGGGTACTTCTGCTATTATCAGAACTCAAGTATATTCTTCCACATTCAACACAGCTCAATAGAATATTCAGAGTCTCTGACCACAGAAATCTTTGTTATTTGTCTGCCTGTCTGGATCTTGTACTTCTTACTTTGCTTTGCTCTCTGATATTTGCTTACTCTTTGTAAGCAAAGAGTGTTGATTGAAAGGTAAATCTATTATGTTATATTGTATAATATTAAATAATTGGTATGTAAAATGTATTTTGGGTAAAAGGTTTACAAAGGTATAAGATGTGGTTATGTGTGTGGAAATATTTGGTGTGTTAACTTAGACATTGGAGTTAGAATACACTGTTAAATGAGTGGATTTAGGAGAACATGAAATAGTCAATAAGATAAGCTTATAAGTGAACTAAACAGAGGAATTATTGTAGAGTATTTGCATTCTTGCAGTTATAGCCTTCAGATAAGCCAAGAGCACAAGTAGAGTACAACCATGTGGATCAGAGGGCTCTGCTAGGGCAAAACCACTCGGCTATCACTTTTCAATGTCTCAGCTGCAAGAGCTCCGTTCCTTTCTCCACACGATATATTAGTGAATAGAAATCACATGCAAATAGGATAGATAATAATAATAATAATAAGTAGTAAATAGTAATTAACCTTGTGAGCTCTACTTTGGAGAAGAAATTGTGGTGAAATTTGGGGGAGAGTTTGAGTAGAATGCAAAATGCAAGTTAACATAGGACTTGAGTGATTTAAGGGATATACTAAGTTGACACACTCAAAAATGTCTTGAGGTTGACAGTAATCATTGCTAGCTAGCATAGTGTTGTAAATATACATTGCCTCCCATTGCAACATGAAAGGGAACTCTTTAAGGAGCAGGGTAGGGAAGTCAGCTTATCACTTAGATAAGAAATCTTCAACTTAAAATTGTTCTCCAAATTCAACTAACGTTTTTCATTTGTCATTGTCAGTTGGTCTTAGAAAATTATACAAATTGTTGAAGATCCTTTGACATAGTAGATGTTCCCTTAAGCAACACACTTCAATAAATAATGTCAGTGACAGTTGGTATAGTGAAAAGGGTCTGGCTTTTAGAGTCAGTTAGTCAGAATTGGGTTCAGATTAGGGCTCTGTCATTTGCAGGTGGCATTACCAAGGGCAAGTTATATAACTTCTCTGAGCTGTTAGAAGTTTGACTGAGATTTGATGAGCTAGCTGGAGCTGAGAGTGGAAGTTCACTGCTTGTGATATACGATGCTACCCTTTCAGCTACCTCCCAAAATATATCCAATCAAGTAAGCCATCAGCAGACAACTTGCAAAATTAAATGCATTCCACTATCCCAATTTCTGGTTGTAGAAAATAAATGTGAGAAAGAGAATAAGCTCTGTGGTTAAACAGTCATACTTTTAGCTGTGAGCAAAAGAGCAGTTTAACTCTATGTGTGAAGTAGCAGACACTAATAGAATGTGAGATAGTAGGAAAGTCATAATATGCCATACGCCAGATAATTTGTTTGCAATGGATGGCTGTAGTGAAAGCCTTTCTGCTTGGCGTTTATACGTTTTTATTTTTTATGCAAATTACCTTGAGAGAGAGAGAAAATAATTTTAAAAACACATACTTGCTTTAATGAAAGATAGCAGTTGTCTTAAAAGCACATAGCTTTTCTTAGTTTATGCTTTATAAAAGAAAAGAACACAGGTTAATTTTATAGTCCTTTATGAATCATGCTTTTTTATAAAACAAATTAAGCGTTTAATATGTTTTTCTTATTTACAGCTTACCAGGACATGATTATAACTTCGCAAGCTTATCTAAAATAAAAGATAATATATATATCAACATTTTTGATGAAATGATTATTGAAAAACATGAGGTAAAGTAGAATAATATAATAATCAATGCTGAAATAATTCCAAGTTCAGACTGAAAATTCTATTAACATATTTGTAAATTTGATTTTAGATGTGCTATCTATTTCAGACATTTTCTAAAAAGGATATGGGGCAACTTGAAATAAAAACAGACATATGACAGATCAGTTCAAAAATAATGGTGATCATAAACCACATGCAAGAGGAGGAGGGATAAATATACGAAAAATTCTGGAGAAGTAGGTTTCTGCAGTTGAACATTACACTTAAATGTGAACTTCCTGGTAGCCAAGATAGAAAGATACACAAAAAGGAGTTATATAGTTCTCATTGTCTGTCTACTTTTACAAAAGAGACCAAATTATTCCTAGGACTAAAACCCAGTTCTGTTCAATCATATTTTTAAAAATAATGAATGCTTCCTTGTAGTTATATGAAAGTTCCTAACACAAAGACTAGTGCCATAGCAAGCTCCAAAATGTTAGTGTCCTTCCAGTTGAACTTGGCACTAAAAGTATAAAGATGCATACCCATTGTACCTCCTCCCTTGTGGCCCTGAATAAATGCTTTAATATAAATGTCTATCAAATTTTATGGCAATACTATTGATGAAGAAATTATTTCTACCTAGAGGGATTGGGAATCAGAGTCAGAGAAGCTGCACTAGACCTTCAAGTGTGGCTTAGGAATGAGCCTTCTATAAGAACTACTGAGAAACATAATGGCAATGTCTTCCCACCTAATTTTCAGGAGATAAAGACATGTATTCTTAGTAAAACATTTCCCATCAATTCTTAATAAAGGCTAAGGATAAAATATTAAACAGTAATTCGGCAATGGCTATTCTCCAAGGAGTTAAACTGAGTAGTTTTCTGACTATCTAAATTGATAATAAGTAGAGCTTACAAAACCCAAAGAATGCCTAACAGAATTTCTCTCTCAAAAGTGAATTATCTCAGTGATCAGTTTGACCAGAATTAAATAGCAGTTAACAGTTAAAACTCTTGCAACTCTTTTATGTGTTCTGCTGTGGAAAGGTAATTCGCTTCTTTCTAGTTGTTGGTTCTTACAAATGATACTGATATAAATATACTTGTATGTCTTTGGGAAATTTATCTGTGCATTTCTGTTGGATATATACTTAGGAGTGAAATTGCCAACTCTTAAATTGTGCATATGTTCAGCTTTAGTAGTTTAATGCCAAGTGGTTTCCAAAATGGTTATGTCAACTTATATATACTTCCACCAGCACTATATATGAGAATTCTAGTTGCTCCATATCCTTGCTCTTACCTGGCATTGTCAAGTTTTTTCATTTCAGCCATGTTGATGAAAGTGTCATCCTGTATCACTTTGTGGTTTTAATTTGCATTTTTATGATACCTAATGAAATTGAGCACCTTTTTCTATAAATCTGGTAACTATATAAATGTGGATTTATTTCTGGACTGTGTTTTGTTCTGTTGGTCTATTTATCTTACTTTTGCATCATTTCCAGACTGTTTTAATTACTAAAGATTTGTTATAAATCTTGATATCTGGAAACCTAAGTCCTTTGGCTTTGTTTTTCTTCCTCAGGATTACTTTGGCTATTCTTAGCCCTTTGCATTTTCTTATAAATATTGGATTCAGCTTGTTGATTCCCAAAAACAAGACAAAACCTGCTACGATTTTAATTAGAATAGATTTGAATATATAGATCAATTTGATTAGAATTGACACCTTTATAATATTGATCTTTTCAATTTACATTCATGGTATACATCCTCTTTCCACTTTTAGTTATTTCTGTATTAGTCAGGGTTTTCCAGACAAACAAAATGAATAGGATATATAGGGATATACAAGAAGAGTTTCATTACGGGAATTGGCTCATGGGCTTATGGAAGCTGAGACAAGGCACAATATGCCGTCTACATGCTGGAGAACCAGGAAAGCTGGTAGTATAATTCAGTCCAAGTCCAAAGGCCTGAGAACAGGAAGACTGCTGGTGTAAGTCCCAGAGTCTGAAGTCCCTGAGAACCAGGTAGGAGAAGGTAGATGTCCCAGCTTAAGAAGAAAGAGAGAGGACTTGCCCTTCTCCCATCTATTTGTTCTATTCAGGCCCTCAGAAGACTGGATGATTTCCACCCACATCGATGTAGGCTGATCTGGTTACCCAGTCTGCTGATTCAGTGCTAATCTCTTTAGTAACATCCTCACAGAAATATGCCCAGCTATCTGGGCATCCCTTAGCTCAGTCAAATTGACTCATAAAATTAACAATCACAATCTCCTTTTGCTAATTTGCTTAAGCATGATCTAGAATTAATCACAGTATATCATACATTTTTTTATACATATGTCATAAACTCCACAAGGGGTTATTATTATTGCTTTAAATAGTTATATTTTAAAGAAATTAAAAAGTGTGAAAAAAACTTTTCTAATTACTCTTGTTCCTTTTTAAAAAGAGAGAGATTTTTAAAATACATACAAGTCTGTGTGAAAGTTATTCATCACATGATATTAAGTAAATAATAGAAAAAATTATTTTAATAGGATCACTGTTTCAAGAGCTGCAGTGGTCATTCATATATAAGAAAGAATTGGCTTGGATCCATTGTCTTCCCTTTTTCTGCTCTCCTGCAACAATCTGAGGTAATAGAAAATAATTCTTTGCTAATCATTCAAAATTTTTATCTCTGGCTAATAGAAATACTTACTTGTCATTTTTGAATCAGGTTCTGTGATTGGCAGTTTAATAGTTCAGTCAAAACATCCTGTATTCAGGTGCCCTTGGGGTGTTGGAGTAATTGAAGGTTTTAGATAACTCTAGAACAGGAGACACCCACAAAATTATTTATTGTATCTTTAGAGTGTTCATCGATAAGAATGTAGGATAGCTAGCCTTGGGTCTTAAGGCAACATTCATATTTGCTTGTAATAGTTTTATAGGACCAGATTCATGAATATTCTGATGAATGTCATTGCTTTGTAACCATGGGTTCTAGGAGTTTCACTTCCTCAAACATTGTTTATTGATAATGGTGAGACTGATGGTTAGCACCTGTCTCTGTGATACCCCAGAGGGTCCTGCTGTTGGGTCATGTAACAAAAATATGTCTATATGACCTATGCCTGCATGACCAGCTAAGTATAAAAACCCCAGCCTAGACTCCATTTTGGGCGCTGTTTACTTACTTACAGAGATATGTGAGATACAGAAAATTCAGAAATGAATTTTCTACCTCAAAGAGTTCACTGTCTATAAAAGGAAATGAACAATTAACATGGTGATGCTGTAGTGCTCTGAGTGGGGCATGAGACAGGTAATATGAGGGTACCTTACTCCTCCTGGTTTGGAGAGGGAGGTGAGGGGTGTTCAGAGGGGTTGGGGGTAGGTAAGAGGGCAATGAGATGGAGAATGAAAGGTCAGGGAAGTATTTACAAAGAAGATAACTTTTTAATGAAGTCCCTAAAGGTGCATTTGCCAAGAGAGGCAGTTGACTCAGAAGGAATTCTGTGTGTATCAGTCAGTACTGCATTTGGTCATATGGAACAGAAAACCTGACCAACAGTGGCTGATGTAAGGGGTCTGTTTATCTCACTTAAAAAGAAGTCTAGATGCCAGTGTAGTCACTCAAGAATGTCGTCAAGGATCCAAGCTACTTTTGTCTTTCTGCTCCACTGTCATTATCACATGGCTTTCATACTCATAATTGTGAATTGTTTACTGCACCTCCAGCCTCTTATTCAGGCTGCAGACAGGAGGCAGGGCGAAGCAAGAAGGGGCAGGAAAACAAACAGTTCCCCAGAAAACCCCAGCAGACTTCTTCCTGCATTTTACTTATTTGGACCCACCCGGCACCCAGCTGCCTCACCTTGACTCATTCCGACCCCTTTTCCCAATCCTGGTTCTGATCACTATTATTTATTTAGTATTTCCCTTTAGTTGGCTCACTTTTGAAACTTAGAAACATTTATTTGGAAAAGAAAATTCCTATTTCTTTACAGTCACACTTTACTGGCTGTCATTTTGCCACCTAAAGCTGTTGGTAAGAAAGGAGGAGAGAATGGAGATTAAGGAGGGAAATAGGATTGTCTGCATAATATGCAATCACAGAATGTCATGACGGAGCAGGATGCAAACACAAGTGTTGCAAATAAAAAACAATGGAGATTTTAACTTGTTGGAGGTACAGGGCTTCCTACGTTTATAAATCCCCGCACTTGTTTCTCAGTCTGTGGCCAGATTCTAGGATCGAGAGGTAGTTAAGAACGTGAACTTCAAAGGTGGACAAACCTGGGCTGTAATCCTGGTTCTGCTACTCATTAGTTGTGTGATCTTGCACAAATTACTTACATTCTCTGAGCCCCAGTTTCCTTATCTATAAAATGGAAATGGGAGCAGTATCTACCTCATAGAATAATATGATCTATATCAAGCACTTGGCACAGTGCCTTACACATGGTAAATACTCTAAATACTCCAATAACTATTAGTTGTTGTTATTACTATTATTATTATTATTATTATAAAAATAATCTCCTCCCTCAAAACACACACACACATGCACACACAAGCATACACGCACACACGATCCCTCCTCCTGTGGTCATTCTTCCTGCTGTTACATTTTTTTCTCTTTGTAGACCCAATGAAAAATGTAACATGGTCTTTTAGCATCTTCTCTGAGCCTGAATTAGATTTTCTAAGGGCTTTTTGTCACTCCAGCACTGTAACTTGCTTTCTCGTTTTGTCCCTTTCTTAGTCTGCCCTTTTCTCATAGTACATGTTAAGCAGGAGCCCAGGGTGTTAAGGGTGCCTGCGAATAAATCATCATGGAGAACCTGACCATCCCTGTGCAAATACCTATTAGTGCCAGCGTGAACCCATGAAAGCCTGTTCCCATAGTGGAGAACACTGAGCTGAGCTTTCCTATGTTTGACAGATGCTTATTTTCATCCTGCAGAATCCATTGTATTGTTTACTCTTTCAGATTAGTGGGACATTTCAAGTAAATATTCCACCAGTTTTGCTTGGATATACTTGGGGTAAGACTTACGTGTCTCCTAAAGAAGATTATAATGGGCAGAATTTAAAAGAATGTACCTTCTTAAATATTTTTGCTACCATTGAACCTCAAATATCATATGCCATCTGTAATCCGGAACCAGACAAGGTAGGCTTTACAGCGAATTATTTTCGTATATACTGTCAAAGAAGTACTCATTTCAAAGCTGGCAAAAATGAACATTGATTCTTGATATTTCCCCGTGGAAACAATATGGTACAGTGTTGAAGTATTTTAAACTTGATTCTAGTTTTCAGATCAAATAGATGTTTTGGAGAGAGCACATATTTTTAAAAGAAATTGTAAGGCAGTATTTCCTAACCGAAGAATCACAACTACTGTTTTTAATGAGGAGGGGATACAGATCTTAGTAACAAGATACATCAAGGCATTAAATCCACCTCAGCAACTCATGGACATATTTCTTCGTGATTCTAATTCAACACTTGTAAGTTATATTTATTTTAGTAACTTTATTGAGATATAAGTCACATACCATATAATTTACTCATCTAAAGTATGTAATTCAGTGGGTTTTAGTATATACACCGAGTTGTGCAACCGTCCTCACAGTAAATTTCAGAACATTTTGATCACTCCAAGTTTATATTTTAACTTACTCACTTTTTATATTAACTCCAAGTATAACTTTTTGATTCAAATTGTTTTACCTTAAAAGACAGTTTTCTGAGAGAAAAACCATCAGTGTTGCAGTGTGTTCTTCTGAGCCCCATTTGGAAGAAAATATATCTTCCCGATACCCTTCATTTCTGCCCACTTGTGCTAGACAGTCATTGTTGCCACACCAGTTCATGTGATCATAACAGCTTCACAACTTTTCTATCCAACTTTGAAAAGCCACACAGACTTCCAGACAAAATAAAAGGTTATGTTCCTAAAGGGGCTGTGTCCTTCTAGGGATTACTTCTTGCTGCATGTGGGAATGAAGAAACCGTGTTATACTTTGCTCTGTAAACCGCCAGCATAACACTTCCACCGAATCCCTCTGTGGCTTTATGCATATCTGTTTACCAGCTGACAAAAGAGACATATACTCAAAATTTAATTTCATATCAAATGAAGATTTATTCATTATGGACCCAAAAGAGGATATAGCTCCTTCCACTTTGAGAAAGGAAAATATAAAATCAGAAATCTAAGTCTCTCCCTTAAGGAAAAATTAAGCTTTGATTAAAGGGCATCTATGAAAAATCACGTATACCTTTTATTCATTCAGGCTTTATTGAGTCAGTTGGCTCTCCTCAGAGTATTTACATTATTTTTCCATTATGAAGCTCTTACCTGAATTCCTTAAGCTAAAATCAAAAGTCCTAACTTAGGTCACCTGTTGCTATACTCAGCTTTTCCATTGTGGGCTTCTCCCTGCCTATGTTTCCTGACACCCAAAGTCCAAGGAGATACTAATGCTTTCAGATTTCTTTCAAAGGCAATCTGTGCTTTTAAAAAAGTATAAATCCTAGCCTCTTTGCTTATCAGGGATTGTGAACCATGTTTAATTAATTGTGTGAAATCAGAAACACGACCAGTGTGGGAGGTTGTAATAGTGCATAAATGTTAGCTATTGTTAATCAGTGAAAATGTTAGTGAATGTTCTGTGTTAACTCATTGTTTCTTTATTTGTATTCCTTTCTCCTTTCCTACTCTTGTCTGAGTCCTTGTCTCCAGCCATATAGGGGGAACAATTCACAATATAACTTCTATTGTCTGAGAAAGTAGGCTGTGCCAGTATCTTCCTGCTGCAGCAACTTAACAACATTTTATTAACAAAAATAATTCTGATAGATTTTGAACCTAGAAGCAAACCAAACTTTTGTTATTCTTCAACATCTTTTTTCAGTTTTTTAAACAGTTGTACATTAAGTGTTTGATATTTAATTTTTTTATTTATTGCAATAAAATGTAATGGTTAACATGCATGCTCTGGAGTCAGGCTAACTTGGGCCTATTCCCAGAGACCCCATATATTGTGTTAGCTGTGTGACCCTGGGCAGGTTATCTTAGCACTCTAAGCTCGTTTCCCCTTCTGTAAAATAAAACTAATAATAGTGTGTACTTCATAGGCTTGTAGGATACACTAAATGTGATGATAATATATGTAAAGCATTATGCTTGGTGATGGGCATATAATATGCGCTAATAAATGTTAGTTAATATTATTTTAGGGCCTTATTGCTCGCTTTGTATCTTTGATTCCTATTATGCCTGATACACTGGATGAAGATGATGGTTTTGATATGTGGATGACATCAGAGGTAACAAATTACATTTTATAATTTTTTGCTTTTCTTTTAAAGAACTCTTTTAAAAATATTATGCACTCCTGTAGTAATTTGCCGTGTGAAATTCGAAGGCATTTGATAGTTTAATACATCATTTTCAGCTCTGTAGCAACCCATAGAAATAATTCTTAAAGACCAAAATCTTATTCAACATTTTAAGTGGTAGCTCATGAGTACTTCGATTCAGCAGGAATTCCAGGAGTACAATATTATGGCATTCTCCAGAGAGAAGTATGGCTTGTCACTACAGAGGTGGTCAGACCCTGAAGTCTAGGGCAAGTACCACACTTCCCAGAAGCTTTCCCCAGTTTTCCCACATCTGAATGAAAAGCTCATATAGCAGTGCTCTTCCTTGGCACTTGGATTTCTCTTTAGACTGGTTGCCAAATAAAATACAGGCCCCATGCTATATTTAGGGCATATTTTTACTAAAGCTGTTTGTTTATATGAAATTCAAATTTAACTGGACGTCCTATCCCCCCCCACAAAATCTGGCAACCCTAATTGGAATACTTCTTCCGTTCTGCCTTAAATTATATTTAGTTGCTTATATATTGACCTTACACCCACACACTGACATATGCATTCCAAGTTTAATCTCCTTGAATGAAAAGACAGACTTGATTCTTATTTATTTTTATATTCATCACTTGTACATACTTTAAATTTTATAAGCATCCAATAAATATTTTTAATGGGAAGTACCAGTATGTTGGGAGCCTGAGAGGGACATTTTATGTTTGAAACTAATAGTCCTGACCCTTACCTAGAATGTTTGAGAGGCTAGATTTGAGTTGAAATGGATTTAGGGGACACAGGGCTAAGTTAATAGATCTGCTACCCTGCCTTCTGCTGAGTGGGAACAAGGGAAACACAAGCATGCCATTTGTTCCAGGATCCAGTGATTCAAATCTGATAAAACTCAAAGAGGTGTCACTAACTCTAGACTCTCCTGAGACCCTTTGAACTGGTAAGAATGTGTTCAGGGGTATTATGATCCTGCAGGACATTGAAAGACAGCCTCTAGAATAGCTAAAAGTAACCATTCAGGCACATGCTGGTACTCCCGAGTGTCCCCCAATCCAAACAATACCCATAACCAAGAGGTTACTGCAGGCATAGGATTCCTCTTGGCTAATGTCGTCCCACTGATGTGAACTCTTTGGACTCGGGGCACCCATGAGTGAATGACTAATTAGATCATCACAAGACAGGAGTTATTTTCTCCTACCCAGCATAAAGTCTTGGAGTCAAACAAACCTTTGTTCAAATCCTACTTCAGCCATTTAATAGCTGTGTGACCTAAGACAAGTTATTTTGCTTCTTTGGACCTCAGTTTCCTCATCTGCGTCATACAGGGGTTTTGAAAGGTAGGCACCTAGAACTCAAGTGTGTTAGTTACCCACTCTCATCCATTCCATCCTTCTCTTATGAAATCCAGTCAGGGGGGCCTCCATGGCCTGACACTGAACACTACTCATATTCTGCTCTTCATTCTCCTGCTCACACTTTTCTCTCAGAAGAGCCATGTCACAGCCTCCCTGACCTCCATCCCTCACCGTCACGTTCAGCCAGTGTGTACGGGTGTGGCCATATCAGCCGTTAAAACACTGAACGCTTCCATGCTGACTGGTAAATGGTCACTGCCAAGAGCCCCTGAGCGCCCCCTCTCCAAGCTCCCTGGCCGCCGTGGCCCTTTCTCTGGGACTGTAATGAACTGGAAAGCGCATGTCTGTCTATGTGGTACGGCTGCTACTCAGCAGCAACAGGTTATTGCCACGTGAACATTTGGGCCCACATGTGTTCTTAGATCTTTGGATTTGTCAAGAGAAGCTAGAAGCCCAGAGTTTTCTATGAGACCTTCCCAATTTTTAAAAGCATTTCAGGGCCAAAGCCCACCTGCAGCCTAGAACAAGGTCACAGACCCCAGGCTGCAACCCTGCGGTGCCTTTCCTCTCCTGCTACGGCTGCTTTCTAGGCCCGCCACACTCGACCGTCCAGCTGTCCAGCTCTTTCAGTCGAAGAAGTTTCAGTCACTCTTCCTGACTGGGCTCCAACTCAGACCTCTTCCTCTCTCAGTTGAGAGCGCTGTATCGGTACAGGACAGAGTATAGCTCCGCTGACCAAAGGAGCCCTTCCTCCAGAAACACTGTTTGATTACCTATCAGATGAGGTTCCTTAAAATACCAGCCCATATGTCCCATTTTCCCAGGGCAGTTTAATATTTTTCCCAAACAAAGATGCCCCATTTTGGATGATAAATTATTGGCTCATTTACACAGTATCCACATTCATTGTCCCATAATAAAGGTGACCCCTATGTTCCAAGTGAATGCTCTCTCCGTCTCATACCCTAGTGTTTTATCAGGCAAAAGGTGCCAGAGCTTTCAGCTTTCCAGTTGTCTCAGCGACCTGGCAAAATATGTGTGTGGAACTGGGGGCAGTAGAGGGGCTCTAAATCTGTCTGATCATTGCATTATTCAACTTTCTCTTCCCCTCTTTTTTTTGTCTTGTTGCTTCTGTTTTGCCTCAGCGCTGTATCAGTTTGGCTATTGGAAACAAGGAGGAGCATGCCATACTTCTCTGTAATTTCTTTCTGTATTTTGGAAAGAAAGCTTTGGTCCTTCTAGGAACCTCCGTGTTGGAAGTAAGTGTTGGAGTTAATATTTAAATTGTATAAACAAAACTAATTAGCTTTCAGCTGCAAGTTTAAAAGACTTCAACCCCAAGTTTCCATCTATTCACAAGCAATTTAGGGAATTTCATGGGCAAACATTTACTTAGGAAGATAATGTTGGTTCATCAGAATTTCTATAACGTAAAGAATGACTTCCTTCTGTTTGTTTTCTTTGTAAAGTTGTATAATTAATAGTGCTACTTCACAGGGTTACTAGAAATATTAACTTACGTAGTAAATGTGTGGCACTGAGAACAGCACCTGGTTCATGGAAATTGCTCCATAAATGCTGGTGGCAGTGATGTAGTAATAGTTCTTGCAGTCATTGTAGTGGTTGTTAACCATCATCACCACCATCATCTTTATGTTTCTGATACTCTGTTTTAAGATCCTTAAGAAATACTTCTCCCAATTTCCACTGCTCAGTTTTTCATTGTATAAGAAGTGGGCCAGAAACTTACGCTTACCTCCCTGAAATTTTTACATCTTAATTATATACTCTTGCATTCAAACCTTCAGAAAGCTGTCTTCTTTGGGACTGTTTCCATTTCTACTATGAATACCTTGATAAGTGTCCAAGCTTCCAGCCTTGTTTCATGGTTTTTGTCGTGACCATTTATTTCTCTATACTCCCTTATTGGTGAGAAGCATGTGGCTAATTTCCCCATTTGATCTTCCTGCTGTAGTTTTATGTGCCACTAGATGGCAGTAAACGGTCAACAATATCTCAGTGGACCTTTCCACTTGTACCTGTAAGTCAGTTCAGTGGGTGGCCAGAGCTCAGCTGTGTGTTTGACCTCAACTATGTGATTGCCACAGGTGAAGTCTTTTCCTTACTGAAAAGACAGGGGCACAGTGATAAAGAGCACGAGCTTTGGAGTTAGGGAAACCAGGCTGCACAGCACAGTGTTAAGAATATGGATTTCGGGGTCAGTCAGAGAGGATTTAAAACCTGGCAATGACATTCACTAGCTGTATGATCTCAGCCTTGTTTACTCCTCTGAGCCTCACTTATCTCCCCCACAAACAGGAATAATGCCAGTTACCATTACCCTACACAAGCTCTTAGCCTCTTGTTCTTCATGTGAAAGATGAGCATAATTATCACCCCTACCTCATAGAATCTGGAGTTCATTAAAGTGAGAAAGTGTGAATGCTGGGTACAGTACCTGGGGTACATAAATACTCAATAAATGTTAGGCATTATTATTGTTATCTGCAATACTCATTCTTTGCTAAACAGGAAAGGTTTATACTTCAAAAGGTATGTGCAGAGCAAAATAACAACATAATGACTACTTTTGTTCTTCAAATGTTTCCTGTTTAATTTCTCTTTGGCCTCTAATTCCAGATCTTGTTCTCAAAATTAATTTTACGGTCTTTTTAACTTCTCTTGCTTTTCAGAACCTTAGGCAAATCTCCATTCCTAACTCTGCATGGTGTTCACCTTTGGTCTCTGAGTAAATTCTGCTCAAAGCACAGTCGGTCCATACAGCACCTTTGTGTGAATTGCATGAAAGTACCCCTACCTCAAACATTCTAGTACTAGCTGTTGGGAAATTGTCATAATATACTCATTTTGTTAGAACAATATGTTATTGCTATCAGGGTCCACCCTCCAGCACCATACATGGCAGCATTGGCTCAAAGTTCTCTCATTTGACTCCTCATGCTAACCTGGGCCTAAGGATTTTGGTTGCTTTGGCTTTTTTTCCTTTTCAAAAAAATTTTAAAGATCCGTAAAAAGGCTTCTAAAAACCAGAGATAACATATGCTTACATTATAATTTCCACATACAAAAATGAGTTAAATTAATCATCCATCAAAAATGACTGTAACTCTTTCCTTGTACAGGGGCGTGTGGCTTATGTGTTAACTAAAGAAACTGATGAATGTTTGCTTTGGAATCCATTAACCGGGCAATGCCATAAGCAGTTTGACCCATTTTGTCCCTTACAAAGTGTAGACTGTTTGTTTGATGATGAAAACGTAAGTATATGGGGAGGGGGCGGGGAATCTTATTTTGAGTTATCTCCTGAACGGTCAAACCAGCGGTCTTCTACCCTGGCTATACATTAGAATCATGCAGGGAACTTTGAAGAATGTATAGATGTTCAGTTACAATCCCTGGAGTATGGAGCCAGGGAAATCGTATCCCTAAAACTCCCTGAGGTGATTCTGCAGTGCCTCCAAGGTTGAGAACCAGTGAGCGGTCTAGTGTTCACATCCCCTGGAATATCTGTACCTCCTGCCTCAGAACTGTCCTTGGCTTCTGCCACCTCACTGGGTAGCAGGAGTGTAAAACTTCGCTCCATCCTAACCAGCTGTGGGCTTTGAACTCCCCTGGACCCGTACTGAGTTTATGTTAATGTTTTAATAGGTCTGGTTTAATATTCAGCAAAATAATACACCAATGGCTGTATATTTTGACTATACAAAGGAAGGTTTCTGGAAACAGTTGCTTCCAAAATATTATCAAGGGACAAAAGCACAAAGTATACAGGTAAATCATATTTTTCCAGGTGTGTCTGTGTGAAAGTTACCATTGGTTCTAATCTTAGGAGTTGTGACAGCTTTTGTTATATTTACGTAACTGATTGCTTATTGAATTATTTGGCCAATATTAATAAAACTTAGTTTTCTCTGCCATCTGTCCTGAGTTTGGGTCACTCTCACTCCTTTCCTCTATGTGCAGAAAAGAGGAAATGAGAAAAAGGAATCATCTTAAATGTGAATTTAGGTTTTAAAGTAAAATTTTTAAATGTTCATCATGAAACATAAAATATAATGTCAAGATAGTATAATAAGCTTTTACTTTGACCTAGCCCTTCTACTCCACGTCCATGGCAATGATCAAGTAAAAAAATTGAAAAACAAAAGGCTTATCTGGGCTCCAAACCATGATAGTTATCTCTGGACTAGAAACAGGACAGACACATTAGCAGTGAGTGGGCCCAGAAAAGCTGGCAGCAAGGTCTGAAAATGCTTCCTGAAATAGAGAAGCCAGAGCCAAGGACTGTGATGGGGCTCCCTACTTTGCTGCTCTTGAAAGAAGATGGGAAAGAAAAGCTACAGACTAACTGCCTGGGGTTTAGGAGGTAAGAGACCAAAGTATAGATCTGAGATCAGGAACCAACCTAGTCACCAGATGGCTTGGCCAGGGTGTCTATGATGTACTCAGTATCGCTTTGGGAAGGTACCCAAATTCCATTTCAACAGTTGTTTCTGGATTGAGGACCATGGTATGGCAGTGTGCAAGCAATTGCAAAATCCAAAAACCAGAAGTATGACCCACAGGGAGAAAGGGGTGGAGGATGATATAAAGAACGATGGAAAATGGGCGATTCGTAGAAGCAGAAACTTTAATGCTCAGCCTCACTCATTATTTCACATGTAAAAGATTGGAAAAAGTATTTTGAAGTGTGATCATATCAAGTGTTGGTAAAGAGGCAGAGAAATGGTGGGAGTGTAAATTGCTACAAATACTTTGAAAAGCAATATGATGATGTTAATAGAGTTGACGATGCTTAACCTTTGACCCACCAGTTCAACTTCTAAGTGTATAGCCTAAAGGAACATGCACAGGGAGACAGTTTTCACACATAAGTACAACAACGGTCATTCCTGAGTTGCTTGAAACAGAAAAACATGAGTTGTGAAGTACTCATACTATGAAATCTTCTATACAGTAGTGAAAAAGAATGTATGAAACCAATTTACCATAGTTCTCAACTGGACTGTACACCCATTACATCAGATTCTCTGTGGGAAGAACCCGCACATTTGGTGTTACCTACAGCTCCCCAGTTGATTCCCACGTGTAGCCGGGATTGAGAACCACTGACCTAGAGCCGTGTGTATCATGTGAATGAATGTAAGAAATGGAATGTTAAGCAAAATAAAGATGTGGAATGACATGGTACAAAACCATTTATGAAGTTTGAAAATTATATGTTGTTTCCATATATATATAGATATATAGTGATAGTATAAAAGCATGCGTAAGAATGATAAACACCAAATTTAGGTTCGTTTTGGAGAGAGAGGAAAAAGGAATGAGGTCAGAGAGCAGTATACAGAGTACTTCAAGTCTATCTGTAGCGTATTACATCTTTTTAAATAATCTAAAACAAATATGGAAGAATGCAAAGATTAGCTATAGCTCGGTGGTATGTATGTTGGGTCGATGTTAATTACATTATTCTCAGTGCTTTATCTTAGATTTGGGACAATTCACAATATCAAAAAGAATGAATGGTGGTTGTAGGGGGAAAAATAGTATCAGGGTATTAAGTGAAGAGTTTCTCTCCTCTTCAACGTTTTTCCCACTCTAAGAAATATACACTGTTGGTAGTTTCTCGTGCATCCTCCTAGACATTCTCCATGTGCATGCAAGCATATAGATATGGTTGTAAAGTCATTTTAAAGAAGGGGAAATGTGCTTATCTCCCTTGAGCAAACCACATTTACAGCATCCACAGACCATCCCAAATTTGTGACTGAAACATCGCTGCCTCCTGGGGGTTGTGAGGAGGATATATTTAGAGATGAGTTTTTTTTTTGTTTACTATTAATCATTCTGTTATTAATTCAGGTAGTGTTTATTGGGTGTCTGCAGTGAACCAGCACTGTGTTAGGTGTAGGTACCCCAAGGAAAAGACATGTGTCAGTATTCTTGGAGTTTGTGTTCTAGAGGAGGAAACAGAAGGAAACACGCACTTGCCAGTAAGAGTGATACAGAGGAAATGGATGTGGTTTGGGGAGCACACAGCAGGAGACCTGAGGGGAAGGGGAGTTGCAGGGGCTTCCTGGGAAAAGAAGTGACGACCCGCAGAGTGAGGAAGGGTGAGCAAGAGCTAATCTAGATGAAAATCAGGGAGGAAAATGGTCCCAGCACAGAGTGGGAGCAGCAGGATGAAGACCTGCAGTGGCAGGAGATGTCTGTCAAGTTGCTGAGAAGCCAGCTGAGCTGCCAGGGACTGAGCAGGGATGAGCGTAGGGGTGAGCAGAGCTCTGGTAAGGATTTGGACCTTCATCCTCAGGGCGATCAGAAGCCAACATCACCAAGGAGGGCTGCCATGGTCAAAATTGTGTTTTTGAAAACCACTATGACTGAGGATGGAAACTAAACCTTTTATCAAGTTGAATGTATAAATATAAAACTCCCAGTTGCATTTGACTTGTGTTTCTATTGATTTCTTTCCTATGGGTTAATGGCCCTTGGTCTTCTACCTTGATGCACACATACCAGAATAAACCACTGTCTGCAGTGAACACTTTTTTTTTAATATCACAACTGAGAATACAAATTTGAGTGTGTAGGATGAGAATATGGGTATTCAGGGATGCAGTTAACAGGTAAATCCTCTTGAAATTTTAAAGGATATAAATTCCCTGAAAGGAGCTTTTGCCTGAAAAGAAAAGTAGACTAACACCCTATAAACTTATCAAGTTAACATAACACAGGCCTTTTTCCCCCAGGCCTGAATGTGACCTAACTAATCCACAAGAGTTGCCAGGACAGCGGGGCAGACAGTGCTTGACGACAGCAATGGGGGTTCAGTTTACCTCCTGTCTGGGATAGCTGGCGGCCCGTGCCGGATGAGCTGGAGCCCATCCTTCCCTTTCTCTGGTATCCCTCATCTCCTGCCGGGATCGGTTTTGGGGAAACTGGCTGTGCCTCAGCCTTTTCTCTAACCTAGTGGTTCTCCAGCCATGGCAGGCATCAGAACCTCCTGGAGGGCTTGTTGAAAAGCGGGCTGCTGGGCCTTACCCTCGAGTTTTTGATTCAGTGGGTCTGAGGTGGCTGGTCTGGGGGCCACATTTTGGGAAACACTGGCTTAGATATCACTGGATAGACTGAACATCCTCAAATCACTCCTGAAATTCTTTAAGACCTAGAGGCCTAGCAAATGTTTCCTCCTTTTTACACAACCCTCGTTCCACTCACGAGGGGGAAATATCTCTCCCTGTTTCTACAGCTCCTCTACTTCGCAGCTCAGAAACATCCAAAGTATGAACTGTCTAAACCCAGCCCCTCACTCTTGTCTAATGAGCCCTGCAGGGAGGGGAAGGAAGGATTGGGGTGGGGAGTGGCTTGGGAAGTCCTCTCCTCCTCCCCGCCCCAGCAATTCCTGCCCCGGGGCAACACCAGGTAACATGGTAGAGCATTGCCTCTGCTGTTGCGGGGGTGCTTGGAGCAAGGACTTGGAGACAGGGGAGATGGAAATGGACTATGTGTGCACACACACACATGTATGTGTGCATATACATGCAAGCACAGCCACCTGGCTCCTGCCAGCTGAAAGAAACAAATAATCAAAGAAGGAAGATGATAAACCATGATAGAAGGATAATAATAACAATAATATTTGATCTTTATTGAGCAATATGTGCCGGGCTTTACATGTATTACTTTATTTTAAAATCTTCACATGACCCCAGGGAAGTAGGTACCATTATTGTCCCTCTTTTATTCACTATCTTTTGTTTTTCCTTTGGCAGGGGGGAGGTAATTAAGTTTATTAATTTATTTTTAGAGGAGGTACTGGGGCTTGAACCCAGGACCTCAGGCATGGCAAGGATGGGCTCTACTGCTTGAGCTATCGCCTAGCCCTATTGTCCCTCTTTTAAAGATGTGGTAACTGAGACTCAGAGAGGCTAAGGTCACAGTTCACCAAGGTCACAGTTAATAAGTGAAAGAGACCAGTGTAGCTCCAAAAGATTATCTGGTAGAATCAGTAAGCATGTCTGAAAAATGCTTGTTTGAATAAACAGATGGGACAGCATATATATCTTTCCCCGGAGACCTATCTTTTGTAAATCCATTCTTCCTCCCATGCTCTGGTGAGGTAGTGTTAAAGTTGAAGGAAACACTGTGATCTGTGTTGCCTTTGTGCCTCTACTATGGAGTGTTTTTGCCGCATGAGACTGGTTTGGGGTTCCCCTCATTGTGATTAACACTCTACGGGGTGACTGTGATGTAGAGATGTTCTCCCTAGAATCTTGTCTAACTTCTAGTTGTCTGTATTTCAGCCTGAAGAAATAATTTATTCTGATACTAACAGAAGCATGGTAGAAGACCTAAAGAACAGGTATGGTCTTTATTGATAGGGTTATCACGTTTTCTCCCTAAGCTCTCACTCAGCCGTCTTTCAGACCTCTTGCCCATTCTCTCAAAGCACTTGCTAGATTCAGCAACAGAAGCATGAAATGGAGGTTATAACAGTTACTTCCACTGAGTCATCTGTCTCTTGGTACATGCATCCAAATCAGCCCCTCTGCCATCCAGGACAGTCCTTGAAAAGAAAGGCCCAGTTGAATGTCGTTGCCTCTGGAAAACATTGTGGGCCACTAACGGGAAGTTCTCAACACAGACACCTGTTGAGCTTATAGATATAATGATGCAGTAGCTAACACTTCTTGAAAGGACATGAAGGCAAATGGCGCACAACTTGGGGTGTGGTAAGAACATCCAAGCTGTGTGGTAAAAATATCAGTACTGTCCTTCCTAGGCACCACCTGCCCCCCAGCACACACACACGTGTGCACAAACCCTGAGGAGCTGTTCAGTCAAGCCCAGAGGGTCACAACCTTTGCAGCAGACCTCACTCCTACTCCAGATGTGTCAGAAGCTTCTAGATCTGAGGGCCTCCTGTGACTCATGCTGACACAGCAGGCTGTCATGTAAGCCACTACCAACTCATCAAAAGAGAATCTAACAGTAATCATTTTGCCACTCCCTTCTCTCACTAGCATACAATCCCCACCTCTTATTTCCCGTCCTTCTTCCCCAATTCTGAACAAAAGGGAAGAAATGCACTAGGGAAATGGTTCCCAGCTTCTGGTTTTCATCAGAATGGCTTCTAGAACTATCTAAAAATTACTATCCCGAGGTGGAACATTTTGTTAAAGTCACAGGTGATTCTGGCATATAGCCATGGCTGAGACACTCTGCAAACTCACCTAACTACTCAATAGGCCCAACCGAAGGGAGAGTGCCCGCAGCTGCTTCTGTAGCACACACTGATTCTGCACAGAGGAGAGGCTGCCCTGAGGGGCACCATTAACCCGTGGTGCTCCACTTTCTCCCCTTCCCGGAACAGTTCCTCGCCAGGCACTGTTTTAGAGGCGGGGTATACAGGCAAAGATCCCTCCCTTGAGGAACACTCATTCTAGATGTTTCTGAGCATCATACTGATCAGTCCAGTGCCTCTTTTCCTCCCAACTCTCCTTGCTAAATTAATTGATCTAATAAACCCATTCCTGCTAACTTTAGCCCAGACCAGATACGTGAACTTTTATAAAAGCATTTCATGGAAACACAAGGTCTTATGCCAAAGGAAGGTCTTAGAGAACAGGAATGTCAACCCAGTAAGCAGACAGTAGGTATTGTCAAATCACTCCCAGTAGACAACTGACTACACACAGGAGCTGGAAAAAAGATGAGCCTCTGAGAGCTAATTGCTGGCTACCCTAGGAAGCTTCCTGCTTTCTTAAGCCAAGCAAGAGTCTCCTTTCTTCCAGACCTGACTGACGTGAATGAAGGCAGGTATCCCAGCCACAGAGGGTTGATTTTCTCCTAAATTAAAAAGTGTCATTCTCATACTTGAGTAAAAGTGACAAAACTTCTTCCCCTTTGTTAAATGAGTTGTAATTTATCATGAAATAATCTTTGCATTGTTACCTTAGAATTGAACGGACTCTGAAATGTAAAATAATGGAATGGCGACCTAAACAGCCAACACGTTGGAATAGACAGTGTACTTTCATTTTACGACAAATCCTTCCTAAGCTAGAACTTGGCACTGGAAGCTTTGTTTCATCTGAAGAGGAGAGTGAATTTGGAAGACTACTAAAATTTTATTGGGTTTGTATATGACTTAATGCATTAGTGATGCTTGTTTCATCTATGTGGTTAATTGCCAGATGATAGTATTTTAAATATTCCTGAAATGCCTTTTATCTTGATCCTAGATGATACATGCTATGACATTAAAATGCATTTACTTATAGACTGAGAAATTTCAAATGTAGTAAACAACTATTACCATGACCACATTGCATGACATTTTCTTGGAATCACTTGTATGTTTTATGATGTAAAAAACCACAAACTTTGGAAAGAGATGCCCAAAAGGAAACCTGCAACTAAGAAACTAAAAAGTGATCTCTAGATGGTAATAATAGAATGGATTACCTGTCCTTGGTTCTGGGCAAGAGGACTGTATGCAAGCTTTAATATTTTCTGTATGCAAGTTACTCTCAAATTTGTACATCCAGCCTGAACTTCTCTCCTGACCTCCTCCCTTATATGTTCACCAACACATTTGACATCATCCTGGATCATAAAAAGGCATCTCAAACTCAGCAAGTCCCTAATCAAACATGGTGGGCATTTGGTGGGTTGTTAGAGTTCTTCTTTTCTTCCCTTACTGTATCCTCAGTTCTGGGAGTCCTCTCATCAGCTCTTCCCAGTGAATTGGTACAGTGGGCTTTTGGAAGCCCCAGCCTCCCAAGAGTAAGATTCCTTCCCCCTACCATCCCATAAACTAGAGGATGCCTCCTCGGGAAATCCTGTAGGAGAAGAAAGGGAGGAATCTGTTGGTTGTTGATACTTCGGCTGCCAGGGAGGGATATGCAGATACTATTTATTCATGATCAGGGAGGAAGTTGTTTTGTTTTGCTTTCTTTTTAATAGAATTAGAGGGTAAATAGATAAGAAAGCATAGTTGAATATAAGCCAAGTTTTAAAATTTGGAGTTCCTTCTAAAAATTACTTGCTGTTTACACTCAACCATGAATCTTGACTGAATCCCGCAACTTGGGTTCAAATGCTGGCTCAGCCACTCAGTAGCTTTGACCGAGTTACCTGCTTTCTCTATACTTTCACCCCATTTGCACAAGATAAACAGAAATAAAAATAGTTACCTGTTTTGTGGTTGTAGTGAGGATTAAGTGAGCTAATGTTTACACCATAGCACCCAGCACCAAACAAGTGTTTAGTAAATGTTAACTATTATTTGTGTTCTATGTGGCAGACATTGTGCTAGACACTGGGGTTATAACAGTAAACAAGACAAATACAACCTTGAGCATTCACAGAGACGATGGGCTAATTACAGAGACAGACCAGAAAACATGTAATTGCAATATATTTTATTAAGTAAGCTAGAGAAGGACAGCGTACCATGCGATGTGTGGGAAGATCAGGAAAAGCCTCTTGAAGTCAACAACCTAAGGCTTGAAAGAGGATTATGATTGTCATTTGTATATTTTTTCAATAGAAAATTTTACATGGGGCGGTCTTCCATATCCTTTAATTTTGTCACATAGTTGTCACTTAATAAACTGAACCAATGTTAAATAAATTCTTCAAAAATGCCCACTTAAATCCCTCATTTATAGGACCAGGAACTTTCCTTGTTGGCAGTTTGCTATTCCAGGAAGAGTGCAAGGATGTGGAATGTTAAGTGCTCAGGTTCTGGTGTCAGACAGACCTGGCTCTGCTCTGCTCCTCTCTCTGTAAAGTGGGGATTATAACAAAACCGACCTCCTAGGGTTGTTTGAAGTGTAGGCGTATATATGAAGCATTTCGCACTGTTCCTGTACTGTAGAACATAGTGAACACCCATGAAATGATAACAATTATCATTATTTTATGGCTACTATTTCTTTGAGGCTTCTGTAATCTCTTTGCATACGTGAGTAATGTATGTAATTCATGGGGAACTGTACTTCCCGATCACCTACGTGACTGTAACGTGGGTTCACGTGTTATTCTGTCTTTGGTCCAGGTGGTGGGATTTCCTCTCCAGATGCCATACACTGATGTACAGTCAGTTATTGATGCCGTGTATCAAACTGGAATTCACTCCTCCGATTTTCCGCAGACAGAATTTGCTCTAGCTGTGTACATTCACCCATACCCAAACAACATCCTATCTGTGTGGGTTTATTTGGCTTCATTAGCTCGACATGATTGAAAAGGAAGAAGGGAAAAGGAAAAGCTTGTGCATGGGCCCCAACCAGAAGCCAAAACTTTTCTGTTACTTGGGATTTTTCTGTTTATCCTCAAGTCCAGACAAGTGTGAGCTCAATTTTTGGTTTACTTATAGAGTTGAACACAATGGAGACTCACTCCCTGAGTCTTTGAGGGCAAGTATAAATGACCTCCTCACCTGAGACTGCTTCAAGGAGGACCTGTCAGGAAGTCTGGCGCCTTGGGTCACTGTCTATAGGAGGTCTTATTCTGAGAAAGAGGCAATTCTGGCCTCTTTTGCTAAAGCCAGTGTTAATTGTGGGCCCACACCACTTCCATCAAAATCACCTGGAAAGCCTTACTGAAAATGCAGATTCCACATCCCAGCCAGGACCTACTGAATCAAGACCTCTGGGAGTGCAACTTCAGAACCCACATTATTTTCAACAAGCTCCCCAGGTAATTCTCGTGGCCTATTCAGAGTAAGAACCCTGCTTTATAGAATGTTGTCATTACTAGAGTGAAGCCCGTACCTTTAATGCTGGTTCTGATGCAGTTCCAGGTTGAAGTCATTCAGATAGAAACCTAAGGTCATTGCCTCTCATAAGACAAAAAGAGTATTTCACTGATTAAGAATAAGAGGAAAATCTGCCATGTTGGGGTGAGGAGTGGGGTCATCTTCTGGGGGCTTCTCAAAATTTTCTTTTGAGATGCTACTGACCTGAAGTCCTTTCAGCTCCAAATATTTGGAAGGGACTCCCAGGAAACTCTACCTGAATGCTTTCCTGATTCTGTGAGAAAGGGAGACAATGGTCTTACCAGATTTCAGAGCCCCTCTTTATCTTAGTGAGCAGCCCCTGTTGTGTCACTGGCACTTTTCTGCTGCTTTTCTTTCCCAATGGTGGCCCCAGGGAGACCCGCCGAGGTCCTAGGAGCCCCTCAAGAAACAGTAACAGGGATCTAAGTAGGAAACACTGTACTATTTTCTTGTATTTGATTACTCTGTGCTTCATTGAGGAAGGCATTTATACAGTTTACTTAAATGTTACATGACAACTTTTTTTAAAAATCAAAAGATACAGATTTCTAAAGGTTGATGAGAGCAGTTTTATATGAGGTAAAAGTAAGAAACAAAATGCATTTCTCTCATTGCAGGAACACTGGGGCTTCTTGAGTCACTCCCACAAACAGAGAACAGAGACCCCAAATTCATCCTCAGGGAACCCTCAATCTGCATCCCCTCACTCAGTTCACCAGCATAGGCTGGTGCCAGAGAAGACCTCATTTATTTGGAGTGATGTTAGTCTTGGACCAAACTCGAGATTACTAGAAGAGTAAAAAGAGCTACAATATGGGTGAAGGGAATGCTTTTTCTCCAAGGTTAAAAACTAATTGTATGTGTCTTCTGGCATGCAACAAAAAACTGATCAGAATCTTTGTTTTTATTTAAATGTTTGTGTTTAAATACTATATGAAATGTTATTAACAAGTCTCCCACATTGATGGGAGTAGCACAAAATGACATCTATAGAAAGGCAAGTTTGCCAAAGAAGTGCTGAATTCACACAGTTCATTTCTGTGGCACATAGAGTGTTTACATAGCTATTTTGTTAGCCGTTAATGGTTTTAGAATTGATAGGCCACTTAAGATTAAGGTGGAACGTGTTCATAGGCAAGTGTGTATTATATGCATTTTATATGCATATGTGTTTCAAAACTAAATATTCTTCATTAAAATTGTGTAATTGTAATGAACCATTTTTATTTGACTATTTAAAAAATACATGATATTAAATGTAATGTATAATTTTAAAATTCTTTAAATCATCCCACAAATAATTACAGAGCACCCATTACGTACCAGACACTTTAGTATGTGCTGGAGGACAGCAATGAAAAGACAAAGGTCCTCCCCTTGTAAAGCTTTCATCCTTACAGGGGAAACAGGTCCTAAGCACATAAATAGTAAGTAAGATAATTTTGGGGTGTGATGAGTGCTATAAAGGAAAGAAATAGGTTGGTGTGATGGAGAAGGACTTAGTGGGGCTGGAGGGTATAAGCAGAGTAGTCAGGGAAGGGCTCTCTACAGAGAATGTTTGAGCTGAGATTTAAAAGATGATTTGTCAGAGGGGGAGGGTATAGCTCAAGTGGTAGAGCACAAGCTTAACATGCACAAGGTCCTGAGTTCAATCCCTAGTACCTCCTCTAAAAATAAATAATAAAACCTAATTACCTCCCCCTGCCAAAAAATAATAAAGCAATACAATAATAAATAAAATTTAGAATTGCATTCAGTTACATGTAACAGAAACCTAATCACAGTAGATAACCAAATAGGGATTACATAACTGTCAAGTCCAGAGGAGGCAGTCCAACCCTGGTACAGTCTGCGATGTCGTAAGTGTACTAGTCTTCATCCATCTTCTTCACTATCTCTAAGGAGACTTCTGTCCTCTTGCTCAGTGGTTCTCAAACGCATACATAAGAATCACCTGAAGAGTGTGTTGAACCACAGATTGCTGGGCCCTACCCTCAGAGTTTCTGATTCAGTGGGATCTGGGGTGGGGCCTGATAATTTGTATTTATAACATGTTCCCAGGTGCTACTGAAACTGCTGATCTGGGAACCACAGAGGCTCTAGCCTCACAGCCATTTTTATGGCAAGAAAATGCAGAAAGGGAAGGAGGAGGTAGAGGATGCAGCTGGTTTAGCTCTTTTAAAAAGCTTCCCATGAGGCTGTACCCAGTAACTTCTACTTACATTCCATTGGCCAGAATTGTATCACTCCTGGCCACAAGAGAGGCTCGATGTCGAGTATTTTAAGTGGACATATTGCTGTCCCAATAAAATCAGTGTTCTGTTGATGAGGAATTAGGGGAGGATGGCTACTGGGTAGGTATCTGTGGCTTCTACAGTTGAGAGGAAGCCAGTCATGCAAAGATCTGTGGCAAAAGCATCTCAGGCAAAGGAGACCGCAATTACAAAGGCCTCTAGTCCAGAAAGAGTCTTAGATGGGGAGGCGGGTGGGAAGAGGAGTAGCACACAAGTTGGAGAGATTAGGACCATATAGGTCATGGTAAAGAGTTCACATTTTATTTAAAGTATTAGCAAATAAATCTAAATCCTTGAAATGTTTAAATTAACTGAATAAAGTTGTATTTTTCCTTTTTTATGTTTAGGAATGCTTTAAAATTATTTTTAGAGATACTTATTGTTTGTGCATAAAAATGATCATATTTTTGAATGCAAATTTTCTTTTTCTTTTCCTTTTTTGCTTAGATCCCTGTCCCATTATTCTCCCCTCTTCCACCCACGTTATTCACTCCACTTACCAACCATGGATGCTTCCACTTGCCAACATTCTCATGGACACATACATATATGCATATGTTCCTGTTTGTTTTATAAAAATGGGACCACATTAGGTATGCTTTTCTGTATGTTGTTTTTCTCCTTCAAAAATTGTGAAAATACTCCAAGTGAATGAATTCATTCTTCTGAAAGGATCCGTATTATTCTAAAGTGTGGATAGGACCACTACATGCAATTAAGCAGCCACACAACTTAATTTATGTGAAAGGACCCCTGGAGTTGTATAATACATGAGAGTCCTGGCTGTGGATATTATTTGTTATAGTTTATATTAAACTGTTCCTCTGCTGATGAGAATATCTTTTGATCCAGATGGTCAACGTGGTGTTTAACTTGTATGGATCCTTGCTGTTTTTCTGCATACTAGTTCTGTCAATTACTGAGAGAGGAGTATTGAAGCTGCCAACTGTAATTATGAATTTGTCTGTTTTTTCTTTCAGTTCTTTCAGTTTCTGCTCCATGTATTTTGAAACTCTGTTGTTAGATGCACACAGATTTAGGATTTATGTCTTCCAGGTGAATTAACCCTTTTTTCATTGTGCAATGTTCCTTTTCACTCTTAGCGGTTTTCTTTGCTCAGAAGTCTGTTTTGTCTGATGCTTATATAGCCACTTCAGCTTTCTTTGGATTAGTGTTTACCTGGTATATATATTTCCATCTTGTTACTTTTGATGTTATATTTATATATGAAGTGAGTTTCTTGTGGATAGCATATAGTTATGTTTTCCTTTTTTAATACCTTCTGACAATTTTCTTTTTTTTTAATTTAGACCATTTACACTTAAATGTAATCATTTATGTTTGGACTTAGGTCTACCATTCTATTATTTATATTTCACATATTCCCTCTGTTTTTGTTCCACTATTTTCTCTTTCCTACATTATTAGGACAAGATTTGATGTTGTCTTAGAGGTCCCTTAAAGTGCTCTCATTTTTTAAAATTTGTTTTTCTTTTTGCTGTTCTGATTGGGTGATTTCCATCACTTTATCTTTCAGATCACTTATGTATTCTTCTGTTTCACCTAGTCTCCAAATTCTTTCTAGTGTGCTTTTTCATTTCAGTTATTGTAGTCTTCAGTTCTGATTGGTTCTTTTTTAAATTTCTAGTTCCTTGTTAAAATTCTCACTATGTCCATCTGTTCTTTTCGCTAGTTCAGTTAGCATTTTTATTATTAATGCTTTGAACTCTTTATCTGGTAAATTATTAGTTGTCTTTGTCATTAGTTGTCTTTCAGGTTTTTTCTTATTCTTTTGTTTGGAACAAGTTCCTCTGTCTTCTCATTTTGCTTAACTTTCTCTGTGTCTATGAAATTAGGTGTAATAGTTACCTATTCTAGTCTTGAAATGGTAACCTTGTGTGGGAGTGTCCCTCTGCAGTGTACCTATGCCCAGTGGATTTGGTGGGAGAGATGGATCTGAAGCAAGCATGGGTCATATCTTTCCTCAGAGTGTGCTGGCAGCTATCATTTGGTGGGAGGTGGGATGGAGATGGAGGGGCTAGAGCCAGAGCCATGTGTGAGCCAGGGCTTCTCCTATCCTCAGTAGCTGTCAAAGCCCTCTGGAGCAATAACACGTCCCAACGTGGTGAAGCAGAAGCCTTGAAGGTTGGGTCAGAGCTGGCTGTGTTCCCTTTAAGTGTACACTCTCCCAACACCCAGCGCCAGCCTCTTCACCCTAGAGGGGAGCAGCACTGGAGGAAGGGGGCTAGAGCAGGCACCCAGTGCAGGCTTGGACATGTGCTGAGGTCAGTCCCAGCATGCCCGTCAGAGCTCAAGACAGCTCCTAATCTGCCACTTCTGCAAGCACCATTAATGGCCACACTTGCCCAATTAAGATGCAGTGCCAGGTCCGAGCTGGCTCTGTCCCCATAACATCCCACTCTCCTTGGCAGAGCAGCCTTTGCCCTAGTGGGGAGCTGCACTTGGGGTAGAGGTGCCGGAACAGGTTCTTGGCATGGGCTGGGGCCCATGCTAAGGTGGCCATGGGAAACTGGCCAGAGTCCCGGGCAGTTACAATCTGTTTCTCCGCCTTTTCCAGGACTAAGCAAGCTGTGCATACTTTTCACGAGCAGAGTCTAGGTTTCTTAACAGCACTCCTGTTAGTCCCACTGGTTTTCAAACCAGCTAAGGAGACTCACTTTCCTGGTATAAGAACCCAGGACCGGGGGACCAATATGTGATTCAAACCATTCAGTCCCCAGGCAGCATCTCTGAACCCATCTAATCACCCTCCTGTTCTGTGTCCCCTCCTAGGAGCATAGCTCCTGACCTGATTGCTTCTCCTCCTCCTACTTGACTCCATATGAATCTTTCTTTACAGCCTTTGCTGTAGAAGAGCCTTTCTTCCAGTCTCCAGTTGGTTTTCAGTGAGAATTGCTCCACATGTAGATGTATTTTTGATGTGTACATTGGGGGAGGTGAGCTCACTGTCCTTCTAATCCACCATCTTAATCTCAGGCCACCTTGATATGCTTTAAATTTAAAACATTTAAAACTGGATAATGATCAGAGCTTTATGGGGAGTGTTGGGCCTCTTTCCCTACAGAATTCTTTGCAGAATGTGTACGGCAAGAGCAAAGAACCTAAAATGTTAAAGTCAGAAGCAATCTCAGTCATCACCCAGCTCACTTTATAGATGAGGAGGGAAATGACTGCCTTAAGGCCACTCCACTAAGAAGCACTAAATCAAGAACCAAGAACAAGAGCCTAGGGCTTCTGGCTTCCTTCCAGTCCTTTGCATCTACTGGAATATGACGTAGCCTTTGAAAGGAATTCTAGATGTTCTGTTGTGGAATGTTCACCAGAATATATCCTATGACAAAAGCTAGGTACACAACACTGAGTGTAATGTGTTACCATTTGTGATGAAATGGGGGCAAGAAGATTAAGTACATGCATTGTTATAAATATCCGGATATCCCTAGAAGGGTACAAAAGGAAACAGTGATAATGTTGCCTCTAGAGAAAACTGAAATCAAGAGAGGGAGATTTGCTAATCATTGTATACAGTTTTCTACTATTTGAATGTTTTACTTTTTGTTGGCATTCATTAAAATAATGAATGAATTGTTTAAGTAAACAGTTTAAAGTCAATGGTTTTTTACTGCCTAAAGTTCAGTGAGTTACAAAAACTCTGCGGGGACTCTGGTCCCACTCTCATCTCTTGCCAAACCTGTCTTGTGCCTTATGCTGCAGGCACACTGAGGTTTTTGCAGTTTCTTTACTCTGCTCATTAAGTAGAAGTTCTGCCTTTTTTACTTCCATCCTCTCATACCTTTGCTGATCACTGCTTCCAAGACTTATAATATCGTTCCTATCTCCTCTTCATTCCAAGCATACACTGTCCTCCATGTTCATTCCAAACATGCCTTCTCCTTAGGGCCTTTCTGTAACACAGATATCTGCATGTTCCCTAACCTCCTTCAGGACTTTGCATACCTCACCTTATAAAACTATGTCCACTGACTGTCACTTTCTATTCTCTTTTTATGTTTATTTTTCTTCACAGCATTTGTTGCCATGTGACTTTGTTGTTCTTGTTGCTGTTCATTTATTGTATTTATCTCCCCATTAGGATATAAACTCTATATAGAGAGAGCAGACTTTATTTCATTTAGGAAGTAAATATCTAATTGTGTCTAGTGTGCCCTATTTAATTAGGAAATTAATGAAGAAATGTAATAAACCTGAATTTTGCATTATAGGGATTTTATAATCTAAGACATATTGGGCAAATTATATATATATATTCTCTCTCTCACACATACACACACACAAATGAACACTAAAATCCTTTCATCATGTTATGAGGCAAATCCAGAAAATAGTGAGAATGATTTCTGAACAATTATCTCCCAGTGAATAACATCTTCAAAGTAGAATCCATTAGAGATGCCTACTTGTTAAAGTGATGATTACAGTCTGTGACCCATTTTTCTGAAAGGGTTCTTAAATAGGCCCTGGACATTTAAGTTATTGGGAAGCCAAATTATTGTCATAAAGTTGCTTAGTGCACATGAACTGGAACCTGAAGAGGTAGGTACTATTTAAATTCCCTTATAAATGGCATGGGGCTTTTAGCCCGATGTGGCTCACCTCCCTAGGAAACTAAAATAGGCTAAGGCAGCCTCTCCTGGGACAACGTTGGGCTAGACTGGGCCCTGCCAACTTCTGCTGCTGAGTTTTCCTTGCCTTGACATTCGTTCCTGCAGCCTTGCTCTCCTGAGCATAAGCATTGTGTCACAGGGTTCACATACATATTTGTAGCTGTGGATTATGTATGAAGATGTCATTGCAATAAGTAAAACTCAGATTCATGCAACATATTCATCATTTAATAGTAGATCTTTATCATTCATCTTCTGGGACAGGATTCTGAGTGAAAAGGTTTGGGTTTCATGATTTATTTATTTTTTTAATACTTAAAGGGGTTGATTTACATTCTCAGACATGAGGATCACTGAACGGAACTGATCATCTACTTTTGTGATAGTCTACAAAACTGGTTAAAGTACAATTGATCGCATTTCTTTCTGCTAATCACATTTCAGGTCTTCCATCACCTTAATTGACTTTGGAGTGTTTTCAGTTTTGTAGTTTCGTGATTTATGACCACAGATAGTAAAATACATCCACTACAGATCTGATGAGCTAGGTTACTAAAGGTAATCTTAACTCCCTTCACTCAAAGCTTCTGGGAATCTCTACAACAAAGAAAATAAGGAGAAAGAGATTAATTAGGTTTTTAGAAGAAGCAATAGGTTTTAAGGTGGCATTTAAAGGACAGCAGAATTTCACAGATAAAGTGCTTTAGGGGCTGCGGAAACTGAGAAAGCACTTATGAGGGGACTGATAATCCCACTGGCAGCCCCTCGGATGTATGGGGCTGTTGCAATGTGAGATGAGGCCGATTGAATCCATGCCTAGAAGAATTTTAAACGCCAAACTTAGGCATCGGAACTTTCCTCGTCGGGCATCGGGGAGCCGTTGAAGGTTCTCGGCAGGTGAGCAGCATGAGCGAATTGGCCAAAGGAATGATGATGAGCATTATAATTTCTCCAGCGCTCTCTTCCGACCTCTGCCCGCACCTCAGGCCGTCTTCGCGGTAGGTGGTATCGTGGCTCCCGGGCACCCCGAAGCGCAGGGCCGCGCCGGGCCCTTTAGGGATGCCGCCGGGGCCCACTGGGGCCCGCAAGCCGCGGCCAGTGCTGCACCTGGGCCCGGCCGGGCCGCCGATTGGCCGGCGCGGGGGTGACCCGGCTGTATCGCGAGACGAGATTGGCAGCGGCGGGGCGCATGTGCCCCCGCGCTGGCTTTGTACGCGGAGCCGCCTGCCGGTCCTTTAACAATGGGCGGCGCGAGCGCCCCGGCCCTGGGCCCGAGCTGAGGCCGGCTCTTTGCGGCCGACTGTCCGCGGCATGAGCGGGGCCGGCGTTCCCCGCACGCCGGCGGGGCTGGGCCTGTGAGGGCCGCGGTTCCGGGTAAGGGAGGCCGCCGTGGGAACCGGCAGGCCTGGGCTGGTCGCGGGGCACCGGACCCTCCCGGCCCGGCCTTTTGTTAGCCTTTCTGGGGCCGCGCGATCCCGTGCGCTCCTCAGGACGGGGAGGCGGCGGCCTGAGTGCGCGCTGGGCCTGGCCGGGCCGTGGGGAGGCTCTCAGGGAGGAGCGCGCGCCCGACCGTCTGCAGCGGGGACCCGGAGCCGGGCGGGCGTTCGTCTCCAGGTTTTCGGCGAAAGGTTTATACCTCAGGGAGGCTGTGACCCATGTCAAGTCTCCGCTCCTCAGGAGAGAATTCGAACTCGGGACGCGTGGAGCCCGAAGCCGGGCCTCCCGTCCAGCTTTCCCGAGCACGCGCCTGGGTCTGCGCCTTGGGAAATTGGGTCCAAGTTGGTCCCCTTTTGCCCGGCACCGGTCTGGCAGTTCTCGAAACCAGCCGGCTCCTGCGGACTGGGTGGCTCGGCCTTAGGAGCAGCGTCAGGGAATTGGTTTGGGTCAGCGCTGCTTTTAGGACAGCAAGATGAACAGCCACTCAGGGTGGCCTGAGGTCACACCCCTGGGGGGGGGTGGCGCGGAGGGTCGCGTGGAGGGAGCTGGCAGTGACCGCGTCTGGGGTGTGTCTTACAGACTGAAGTTGCCGCGTCTGGCCAGGCGCGCCGCCCGGTCCCATGGAGCTGGAGGGGCAGTGGTGGCGGGGACAGCTGGCTGCCGATATCCATCAAGCTCTTCGGTACAAGGTAACCCTGATGCCCCGACCTTTCCATTCGGTGTCTTATGCCAGTTGGTATGAATCTCGGCCCCTTGGAAAGCCCGTTCAGGGTCTTGAACCACAAGTTTCCAGACCAGAAAAGGCGAGTTTGCTTATTTGCTCAAGGTTAATTAACTTCTTGGCTTTTCCCCTGGGTTGTATCAGAAGAACCTGAAACTTAAATGAGGAGGGTGGGGCGTAGTTAGTGGGAGAGGGAAAGTGTGAAGGGACGTTCTGATGTTCTAGTTTCCAGGTGGAACATGGATTTGATACTGTATTTAAAAAGATACGTGTGCTGGCGTTTTATTGGGCAGAGCAGTCCTCCTTTATTCTATAATTGCTGTTGCGTTCAGCTGTATGTCAGTTTTGTACAAAAATAAATGCCCCGGTCTTTCCACTAACTTGCTGTGAGACATTGGACAAATTCCTTAATTTTCTGTTTCCCAATTTCCTCATCTGTAAAATGATTAATAATAGAACGTGCTTCATGGGGCGATTGTGAAGATTGCCCCATAAATGAGGTAATAGTATACATGTGCTCAGAAAGTGCTTGGCATATAGTAGGCACTAAGAAAGTGGTAACTTGTTATTCTCTACCCTTGAAACCCCAAGATTGGGGGATGTTCAGAAAGCCTTAAGATAGGAGTTAGTAAGCTGATATCAAAGGCAGGGAGTAGACCTAGTATATTTTAAAGATACTGGGGAAAAAATATACTGGCAAAATGCAAAGTCTGTGTATTGTTGCTCATAGGTAACAATTTTACTCCTTTGTCACATCTCAGTGTAATGTCAGCTCTGCATCTTTGATAACCAGAAGAGACCAGATCCAAAATAAACTCTAATTTGACTCAGTGAATGGCTACCTCTGTCCATGGTGAAATTATGTTTAGAAAGTGGGAAAGAGGCAAAACACCTGACTCTTTAATAAAAAGACTGCTGACTGTTGGAGTTGAGAGATCTTAGGATGATAATGTACTTGTATTTTGTTTTTGTTGTTGTTGTTGTTGTTGTCGTTGTTTTGTTTAACCAGGTTAAGTAGATTAGAAAACCTAATTCTGACTTAAATTGTTGCAGTTGTATTCTTTTCTGAAGTTTGAGATTTCTAAATTCTGCTTATTAGTCTCTTGGACACACTAAATACATCTCAGCCCTCTAAGAGGTTGTTTGTACCACGGAGAAGTCTCAACTGTGGAATGGTCCTTTGGAATGTTAAGAAGAGTTGCAGGTTTTCCACTTTGAAAATTGTCCAAATACTTTTGTTTTTTTTTCATATGTTGTCTTTCAGTTTTAAATGTTCTTATTTTCTGAGTGTCAACTCTTTATCCCTCTGGCATGTGGTGAAATTAATATTTGATGTTAATAATACATGTATTTTTTAATGACATGAGACAAAATATTTTTCTTGGTGATTTCCATGGTTTTTGATTCTTATATTTTATGTGTAATTTTAATTCTGAGTGATTGCCTGAATTAATTTTGTCAGTTGAGGTTGGAAGTGGGTGGAAGTGGATTTTTTTTTCTCAAGTAGATTTATTGAATGTTTTGGGATATTAGGCTCTGAAGAGAATCCAGGGAATAAGACACAACCTGTATTAAAGTTACGTACAGACTATCAGAGGATGAGATAGTGTGGGGACTGAAAGAATGCCACTGAAAGTTGTCTTGGGCTGCCTGTGGTGTGGCATGTTACCGTGGGTTGTCTTTATTTTATCTTTAAATATTGTATAAGCCACATTCTTGTGATTTGACACAGTGGCCACACTTTATTAAAAAATTGTTAATCAGTAAAACTTGAACCTATGAAACTGTAGAGACCATTGTTTGTAGTACACTGAAGTCAAGGAAAGTTGAAATGAACTGTTCTCATAGAGAATGCATGTTAATTCCAGTCTATTAATTAGGTGATTTAGTTGGGTAGTCATATGCTTATTTATTTACTCAACATATTTGCATGCCTGCAATATACAGGGTGCTATGCCAGATGTTAGAATGGTAACAGTGAATGAGACAGACGTGATCCCTGCCTTTATGGAGTCTAATCTCATAATTCAGAGCTTCTGAATTTAGGTCTTCCTTTGGGCAGCTGCCATTCAGGCACAATGGAAGGTGTTCTATGTTTAGACCCAAGGTTTATAGAGGAATAATTGGTATGACCAGCAGTGCATCTGCTAGGGAAGAGTAAAAATTGCAACAAATGAAAATCCTCTTCAACCCCCAATGCCAGCTGTACTGTTTTTGTAAAATGTAATTACCCCCTGCCCGCCCCCACTAAAGAAACCTACAGAGCAGCTGTCCTCTTATACCCTCTGTCTTCTTCTCTTTCTTCTCATTGTTTTGCTGTGTACATTAGTGTTTTAGGATGCTTGGGGAAGTATTTTCAGGAGGCTTTATAACAGAGGGGAACAATGCAAACTTTGTGAGAAACATCAAGAAAATATCTCACACAGTTACTCCTTCCATGCCTTTGTTTCCATCCTGGCTGGACATTTAAACCATTCTGGGAAGGGGATGGCATTTGGGGTCGTGAGTTGATGAGGACCTGAGACTGGAGATATGTTTAGGTCTTTTGTGCTTTGGTCCTATGGGATCCTAAGAAGCGGAGGGAAACAAGAATGTTCAATTCTAGGGGATCAGGAATAGACATTAGAAAAAAATTCGTAAGCTGAGAGAAGCATAGGTCATTTTCTCATGCATATAACTGCAGTACCTGGACAAAAATAACTAAATCTGACAGTCATTTGATAAGCCCTTGTACTTTAATTTAATTTAAATTAATATAAAGAGAATGTATTGGACACATTGTTAAAAATTCCTAGTGATGGAGATTGGCGTTCTTACCTTTGTTTTGTCTTCATTTAGCAAAATTAATACAGGTAAAAATAAAGTCCACCAGTGTCTTCCACCTGTGTTTCCCAGTGAGTCTTTTAGACCTTGTTTAGGCCTCTTTTACAGAAAGCCTACCCTGGCTTTGTTTTTTTCCCAGCATCTCACCCCCTGAGCTGGGTTAGATCTCTCTCCACAGTGTTCCTGTAATACCCCATGATTACTACCTTATAGTGTGATAATCTCTGTATTTTGGTTCACTTGCTAGAAAGAGGCTTTAAACTGTTTTCCAGCTTTTACCACTTGGGTTAGCACAGTGTCTCCTGCATGGAAGGTGCTCAATAAATCTGACATGATTACAGTAAAGAAAGGTGAAGTTTGAAACTGAAACTCATCTGCACCATTGTAAAGATCTACAGAAATGGTAGAAAAGAAAAACTCTAGAGCCTACATGAAAAATCAACATGTTGCCTTTATTTGGAGAAATTAGTATTTTTCTCTTCAAAGAGTCAAGCAAGCCTAAACCAATGTTTTTTCTTCAGTAGTAATTTTTGATGCTCTTCTTACTTATACAAACATTAAAAACACAAAATGGCCCATTAGTGCATCTACCAAATAACTCTCACTAATACATATTTTTTAAAGTGATACATGCATATGGTTTTTAAAAATTTTGGATAGTATCAGGTTTAAAATGAGCTTTCCCAACCCTCACTGTTCCCTTATTCCCCAAGGTTACCAGCATTATTTTTCCTGAAAAGATACCCAATAAATTAGTTTATCTACAAATATAATTTTTTTGTTGTTGATATAAGAGGTCATAAATATATATTTATTGTTCTGTACCTTCCTTCCACCCCAATCTCATTCAGTTTATCAAAATTTTCCATATCAACACATAGGTCTACTGTCCATTATTTTAATATCCCCATTGAATCCATGTCCCATGGTTCATTTAATCAGTTCCCTGTTGAGAGATATCAAGCTTTTTTTAAATTACACCTTTTATTTTGAGATAATTATAGGTTCACATGCAACTTTAAGAAATGATAGCATGAGATCCCCTGTACCCTTTACCTTCACAGTTTCTCCCGGTGGTAATGTCTTGCAAAACTATAGTACGGTGATCACAACGGGACAGAATTGACATTGATACAGTCAAGATCCAGGACATTTTTTGTATATTTATCACCACAAAGATCTCTCATGTTACCCTTTTATAGGCATATCTTCTTCCCTCCCATTCTCATGTCCCCCCTTAACCTCTGGCAACCACTAATCTGTTTTTTATTTTTAATTTTGTGATTTCAAGAACGTTACATAAATGGAATTATACAGTATGTAACCTTTTCGGATTGGCCTTATCCACTCAACATAATTCTCTGGAGAGCCATCCAGGTTTTTGACATTAAGATTTTTTTGTTCCACCATTTTGCTATTAAAAACAGTGCTGCAAAGGACCTCCTTATATGTAGGGTATAGGCCTAGTAGGGCCCTAGGCTTAGTGTTGGTAGATTAAAGGGTATTTGTAGTCTGCATTTTCAAAAATTAGTATTACCTCATTGCCCACCAAAAAGTTTTGTCACTTGCAATCTGACAAAACATTTATATGAGCTCCTATATCCACTCTTGATAGCATAAGCAAAAGTTAATAAAATATAATCTGGTAAGTAAAACACTATATACTCATTGCTGTGTCCAGGACCCCTGTGGGTACTGAAATCTGAGGATGCTTGTCTCCAAACGGAGTAGTATTTGCACGTATCCTACACACATCCTTACACATACTTTAAATCCTCTCTAGATGACTTAATCATCTATGTTGTAGCATATATCAGAATTTCATTCCTTTTAAAGGCTGAATAATATTCTATTGTATGTATATACTGCATTTTGTTTATCAGTTCATTTGTTGATGGACACTTGGGTTGTTTGTTTCCAATTTTAGCTATTGTAGATAATGCTGCTATGAATATGGATGTACAAATATCTGTTTTTTTGAGTCCCTACTTTAACTTAATTGCTGGATCATATAGTAATTCTACTTTTAATTTTTTTTGAGGAATTGAAATACTGTTCTTCACAGTGTCTACACAATTTTATATTCCTACCAATACAGAACGGTTCCAATTTCTCTACATCTTTGTCAACATTTGTTAGTTTCTGTTTTCCAGGTTTTGTTTTTTTGAAGTTTTTTAACAATAGCAGTCCTAATTGGTATGAACTGGTATCTCATAATGGTTTTGATTTGCATTTCCTGAATGATTAATGATGTTGAGCATCTTTGTAGTGCTTATCGGCCATTTGTATATCTTCTTTGGAGAAATGTTTATTCAAGTCCTTTGAATACACCGTACCAGACATATGATTTGCATGCATTTTCTCCTGTTCAGTGGGTTGCCTTTTCACTCTGTTGAGAGTGTCCTTTGATGCACTAAAGTTTTCATTTTGATGAAGTCTAATTTCTTTTTTCTTTTTTTTTTTTTTTTTTGGCCTATGCTTTCAGGGTCATATTCTTGTTACTTCCTTCCATTGTGATACCTTTTGGGTTTAGGGTGGTATTATGCTGAACTCATAAAACAAATTTAGAACCTTTCCATCTTTCTCTATATTCTTTTTTTTTTTTTTGATCATTTTTTTTTTTTTTTGTGGGAGGAGGTAATTAGGTTTACTTATTTACTTTTGATGGAGGTACTGGGGATTGAACCCAGGACCTTGTGCATGCTAAGCACGCACTCTACCACTGAGCTATACCCTCCTCCCTCTTTCTCTATATTCTTGAAATATTTTAGTAGTACAGAAATTTCCTAATTAAAAAAAAAAAAGAGCTCAGATAATTCCGAGATTGAATAGTGACGATGGGAAAAATTTTAGATGTATGAAAAGGTGATGGCAAAGGAGAGATCATTAAATTACTGAAAGAGAAACATGATTAGAAGAAATTAGTGGATGAATACTAGTCTCTACCTTCCACATCCCTGCAAATATAATATAGCGTGCATCATACAAGGACCGTATCCATTTATCTGCTACCTTCTAACCAAAAGCTTTTAGCTTCTTGGAGGGGGTGTGTGTATGGTTGGTATTTTGGTGATGATGTTTTTTTCTGAAAACACCTGGTAGGGAAAACAAGATTCCCTTATTTAAAAATCATGCTAGAATGTATTTATTCTATAATGCAAGACACACCTTTAAGCAGTCACATCAGATGTGGTTAAGAATAAGGAGAAAAGTTTGGCTTTAAATTTTAAATGCCATTCATTATCTTTCCACTCATTTTTGTGTTTCACTTGAGGAAAGTGTGTTTTAGGCACTTGAATCAATATATTGAGGGAAAAGTGTTGTCTTTGCATTGTGGGGATACTTCTCCTACAGGCTATCTTAGACTAAATGTTGTTCCTCTTGATTTAGGAGCTGAAATTGCCTTCCTATAAAGGCCAGTCCCCTCAACTAAGTCTCAGAAGGTATTTTGCTGACTTGATTGCCATTGTGAGTAATCGTTTCACACTCTGCCCTTCTGCTCGACATCTTGCTGTCTATTTGCTGGACCTGTTTATGGATCGGTATGACATCTCTATCCAGCAGCTGCATTTAGTTGCACTTTCCTGTCTGCTTCTAGCAAGTAAGTATGAGTCTGGTCTACACGAGTGAAGATTTCCATTGTTCTTAATAACATAAATTTATGTAGAACTCAGTGAAACATCACCAAATTCCATTCATTCCAGTTTACTAGTATCAGAAAGTTTATGTTGAAAGTGCTTCTTTTTGGCATAGTAATTCTAAACCAGGCATTAAAAAGTGGCTCTGGAGTCTTGTAAAAACACAAGTGCCTGAGCCTTACATCCTGAAGATTCTGATACAGATGTCTAGGCCACTCCAGATCTACTGACTCCGAATCTACATCATGGGACCTGGATGTTTTTAAAAGTTATAAAGGTGATTCTGATGTACATTTCCAGTTGAGAACCAAGGCCTTAAAGCAGTAGTTCTCAACCACGAGCAGCTGTGCCCCACAGGGGATCCTTGGCAATGTGTGGAGACAGTTTAGGTTGCTGCCACAGCCTGGGAGAAAGCTAAACATCTGCAGTGCATAGGACAACCCCCAACAACAAAGAATTCTCTTGCCCGAAGTGTCAGTGGAGCTTAGGTTGAGAAACTCTAAGAGATACCATATTCTTGTGTTGTTAGAATACCTTCTGCTACTATGTAATGAGTTGGCTTAATGAACATGCAATTGCTACAAATGTGAAAATGTCTGTTTTTGCAGTAGGCACAACTGTATAGTAATCTGTAAGGTAGCATCTGATAATGGGCTTTTTGGTGCCTCTTTGTCTTAACATCTTCCTGGAACTCATTTCATTGTTTGTTGGTACCGTGACTAAAGAGAAGGAGGGTGAGTAAAGGTACTGAAATGAGTTTTTCTTCTTAGTAATGTGAACAATAGTATTTGATATTGAAGTTGAGTCCATTATGTAGTTTTTATATTATTCATGTCATTACAATGAAAGTTTAAGTCCCACTTAAAGTAACAGTTAGAACTATTGACTGCCTTCACCTCTAACCCCCACTTGATTTGGGATCCACTGTGGCTGCTAAGGAACATGCCCCCCTCTGCTCTGCCACCAGAGTTCTTTCTAAAACACCTTTGCACTTTGACGCAAATAAACCTAAAACCAAATGCAGGCCTATGTGGTATCATTTCTGGTTCTAATCTCTTAGATTTTCTTTTGAGCCCTTATTTTTCTTTTGAGCTGATCACCTCAAGTCCGTATTTTATCTCCTTGAAGGTCTTTTTGTAAGTTATTTCAAATCCTTTGTGGACCAGGCTGAATATATATAAACACAGCCCCAGTGATGACTTCCCATTGCCGGTGGGTTGAGGTGGAAACTCCTTAATGTAACACTTAGAACCTTTCATCTGGACCCCGCCAGCTTTCTAGTTTTATTTTCCAACCCTGTCCCCATGTAACTAGAGCCAAATTCTTACCAGAATACTATTTTCTAAACATCTGCATTTCTCCTTTAATCTGTTGTCCTCTCCGGTCCAGACACATCACCTGCACCTCTCCCCACCACCCAGAAAGCCAGAGAGGTAATGCTTATACATTTATAATTAGCCTTTAATTAAGGTTTCATCCTCATAAGCAGTCATGTGTATAATTCTGCATGTGTTTCACCACCGTCTATGAAGCCCTTTGTGGTTTAACAGTTTTCATGGGATTGGAAAAACCCATACTGGACAAGTCAGATGTATGAGAATCCATATGGAATGGCTTCTTGTTATCCTATCAAATGTTAGTTTATACAGGATGAGTTTATAGTACAGAGACACTGGAAATCAAACATGCAAGTTAGGTTATTTTAAAAACTAGAGAGCATGAAAAATGATTTTTTGCTTGCCATGGCCATCACTGTCCTTTTACTTCTACCAGGACCCACTTGGTCTGTGCCTGGACTGTGAAATTACGAATGGTGAATAGTCAGTTCATAAACTGACTTACATTTGTGCCTAAAATTTACAAGTAACTTACTAAATGACTTGGGGGTTATAAAAGATATTCATAAAGTACATGTCATTACCAAAGTTCACTTGAGAATTCAAGTTGAATAATCTAGTAAGAATTCTGGCCACCACGTAGTGCTTGGCATTGGTGCCAAGTTTCTGCAGTTTCCAGTTTGGGGAAAGGACACTTTATTTATACACCATCTTAGGTTGGTTGGAATGGAGTTCTCAGTTGTTCTTGGTTTTAAATTATCTATTACTGTTAGCTTAAGGTCATGATCAACTTATTTTATTGAAGATTATTTGATTTGATCTATGTGGTAATATGTAGTTACTTTTGGCTCATTTTCCAGGAACTCGGCTTTAGGATTTGTATTGCTGTGGTTGAGATGTGAATTGTTTATCACCTATAGCTGAGTCAGATACTTCCTCCTTTTGTTCTACTGACCCCTTCACCACCCCTTTTTCCCTCAGAGAATTGCTTTTTCATTGTTCCTTTTCCACTGGAGAGTAGGAAGGTGGGAGACAGATATCCCCAGGGTCTCAGCTCCTCCCAAGCAGGCAGTGGTCAGAAGAGTTCAAGCTATCAGCTCTACACTAGGGTGAGGAATCAGAGAGCATGGCCCTTAGTGGCCCACTGCAATCTCCCCTCCTTCCAGTCTAACTTTACTACAACAGAAGTGCTTAGGAAGCATATACACTGGTAGCTTGTTTTCATTATCTGATGTCTGTTTTAAATTTGTGGAGTTCATTCTAGTGTTTCTTACATTCTTAGACTCTTCTTACATTTGGATTCCAATGTCAGCTCTCTAATTAGTTATCATAAACTTTATATAAATAATGCCTCTGTCCTCAAAGAATGATTGAACTCTGAATGTCCCCCTCCCCCAGCTGCTCCCTGCTTTGGGATGGGTAGCTTGTTATATAAAAGTAAAGAACAGCTTGCAGCTGACAGGACTAGGTGACAGCTGGATTTCAGTTATTAAGAAGGTTGGAAGGCTGTTGGTAGTTTGGCTAAAAATGGAGCACAGCATGTAAGTTCCAGGTACTAACACATATCCAGCTGTCTGAGTGTATACACTACTAGAGGTAGGAAGAAAGCCTACAGATTATCTCTGAGTGTGGAGTGGTGTGTAGTGTTTGGAGCAGGGATTACAGGAAATCTATATACATAATAGATTTGAATCTTTTGTCAGCAATGTGAATTTCAGCAGCTCTTGTGTCTCAGGTTACTTTTCCAACTCTTTGACATGTATACCTTGGATTCCCTTGGCTTCTGTGGTCAGCATTGAACTTACGGAGAACATGTAAGCAGTCTTGGACATAAGGCTTTTGATAATTTGCTCAAGGTATTGTGTAACTAAGAAAAGATCTTGGAGTCAAGATGAAGCCAAAAGTGAGATTATAGTCTTTTAATAGAAAAAATTTGTGACAAGTGCTTATTTCTCCTTGCTCACCAATGGTGGGTTGACAAAGCTTTTTACTTTCTGATGGGTGAAAAATTGTATTTCACAGATGATTTGATTTATATCTTAATGTGTAGTGTGAATAGCACCTTTTTTCCCATATGAATTATCTCTTCCAGTTTCTTACCTGCTTTTCTGTTAGATTGATAGTCTTACAAATTTGTGAGAGTTCTTAGTAAATAGTTAAGGATGACTTTTTTCCTACTTAGTAATAAAAGACTAGAATGTGGGTTGGCAGAGCCCAAAGTGACATCTAATCCATGCCCTAATACCATACCTGCAACTCACTGCTGGCTTTGAAAATATGCTGGTTTCCATAGCTGATCTGAACATTTCCTATAAAGGAAAGACAACCTGATGTTTTGTTTCTGTGGTCTCTAATTCTTTATTTTCTGGGAAGCAGATGTGAATTTCCTGTGCCCTTATTTCCTGTTTGGGGCCTTTATCAATATAATCACATGGCTTCTGGTATTTCCTTTCAATTGAAGAAACTGATCTTTGTGATCTGTATATGGTATTATAGATAAGTAGATGTGAAATAGTTATGCACATGGCATTCAGCACAGTAAAAACTGGATATAAATGCAGGTACTCATTGATGCTGTCACATGTTTTGAAATCCTTTAATATGCATGTATCTGAGTATTTATATCACTATATATAAAGGTTCAAAAAAAACTTAAACCTGAATTAAAATCCCAAGTATGGTTATTTATGCAGTATGCAGGTTATTTTTAACTTTGCAAATCAAGATGCAAAGGCTTTCACACTTTTAATAGCCAAATACTTTATAAATATAGAAACCCCATGGATGCTTAATAATATAGAAGTCTGTCTATTCTGGGAGTTGTTGTCCCCATATAACCTGGTGTAGTACTTTGGTCTAAAAGCACAGATTTGGGAATTCAAACGTAAGCCTTCCTTTTGGCTTCCATTTTTGGTTTGGCTCAGTTTAATTGACCTTAAATGAACTGGCCAACTTTGCTACTTTGAGCTGCAAAATTGGTCATATGCAATTTTGTTTTCTGTGTTGAAAGTTTCAAGGAGATAATATGAAACATTCTTGATCCTTGAATTAAACAGTTTCCTGCGGTATATTAATTTCTTCTAAGGAACTTCAAGCATGACATAAATAAACTCATTAATTTTTACAATATTCCTTTGAAGTTTACTGCCAGTATTGCTGCTGCTACACAAATGCAGGGCATTTTGAAAGCCTTAGTGATTCATCCAGAGGGACTGAACTAAATTCCTAGGTCATTCTCCTTCTGAAGATTTCCATTCGGTTATACTAAGAACAGTGTGTTCCTCTCTTACATCTTTATGCAGTGATGTTGCTGGATGACTATCGTTAAGACCTCTTGAGTGCTTTCAGCTAATAAATGCTATTGGCAAAACTTGTGAAATTCATCTTTATGTGACTTGAATTGGGAAGGGCTATCCAGAAAAGTCTGGATTATGTAAGTTTATTGGATCAACTCCTACCTGCAGCAATACTTAACTAAGAGTGGTTTAGATCAAAAGAAGTTCAAAATTTCTGGTGCAGGAGTGATTCTAAGCTTCTTTGGGCTTAGACTCTTCTTAAAGTCATGAGCTTAGAATCTCCTGGCAAAGAACCTTCTACCCCAGTTCCCCCTTCCTAAGCGAAGACCAGGATAGTCAGCAGTGCTTTTTACCCCAGCCCCTTAGGCGAGCCAACTTGAACAAGCCTCACCGGCTCCGAATACACTGAGCTTCTGGGCTCAGTGATCCTAGCCACTAACATTTGTTGTAGCAACTTCAGTGTGTAGTGTAAACCCATCCCTTCTGGAAGAGAAACTTCACAGAGAAACTTGTTTGGTTTCCTCTGCTTTGGCAGTCTTTCTCATTCTTCTCCAAAATGTTTTTAAATGGATAATTAAAATAAGATTTTTGAAGAAGCCAAATATATTGAAATAGTTAACAAAATAGTAAAACAAAAGTTTTAATATAGTAATATATAACCTATTCTAAAAACTGTAATTTTTAACAAGTGTAAGTGGAACAACAACCCAAAGAGACTTAAAGACAACTCTTGGGTTCTGTTGCTGCATTTGGAAAATCATAATAGTACCTGATAGTTTGAATTTTCTCCAGCCATAAATTTTAGATATACCTAAAATGAATGGTTTATATATAGTAAAGTGCTTGCTTGGAAATTAAAGTGTGAGATGGTACATAATCTATAGAAAAATTATTTGGGGGCTGGAGAGGGCGTTTTACTCCTCAGGTGTACATATGGATGAGTATTTCCTGAAAAGAAGTTAATGCCTTCGAAAAATGAAGTTCAGCCATCAGAGCATCTTCTGTTCTGCTTTGAGTAATGGGACATGAAAGTGGTTATAAAATATCCTCCCCTTTTTTTAACAGGCTTGGCTAGGTTTTTGTTTTGAATTCAGAAGAGGAGGGATAGGTTTTTTTGCAGAAAGAGAACGCTTGTGTTCACCCAGTTTTTTTCCTCTAATCTATTCATCTCTCTCTGGAATTGAGACTATGCTGAAAATATGATGAGATGAAACACTTGAAGTTTAGCTATTTTTGATTTCAGATAACTCTGTGACATTAAATTCTTTAAACTTTTTTCCATTCTAAAATTATTTTCTTCTACCAACTACCACCTGCCTCCAAAAAGAAATTTCCTGAAAAGATTCAACTGGTAAGATAAGAGGGAGTTATTTTTTCATTGGCACATAGGACTATTTTCATTACACAATAGGACATAGATCAAAATGTTTACATGTTCCTTTTTTTTTTTTTAGGGGAGAGTGAAGTGTTGGGGACAGAGACACTAGGAGAGAAAACATGCAAATATGACAACCACAGAGTTCTGGCACAGTTGTAAGAGCCCACAGTAGAGGGGAGAAATTCTTTGGATCTAAATCTTTGTACTAAGACAGCAGATCCCATTTAAGTGACTAGACTTACATTGATCACTTGCCTAACATTTTCTCTCTCCTGCTCTTATTTTCCCTTTGCTTATAAGGTAAATTTGAAGAAAAAGAAGATAGTGTGCCTAAGCTGGAGCAGCTCAACAGCCTGGGTTGTATGACTAATATGAACCTAGTATTAACAAAACAAAATTTGCTACATATGGAACTGTTATTATTAGAAACCTTTCAGTGGAACCTCTGCCTTCCAACAGCTGCCCATTTCATTGAGTATTATCTCTCTGAAGCAGTACATGAAACAGATCTTCATGATGGCTGGCCAATGATTTGCTTAGAAAAAACTAAACTCTATATGGCCAAGTACGCAGATTACTTCCTGGAAGTATCTTTGCAAGGTGAGTCGTTGTGGAGCCAGTAAGTGACTTGTGAGATTGTGACTTGGGTATTCTGTTGCTTAGGTTCATTTTTGATGTCTCCACAGATTATGCCTTTCTAAATTATGCACCTTCTTTAGTAGCTGCAGCATGTGTGGCTTCTTCAAGGATTATACTTCGTCTTTCTCCAACGTGGCCTACAAGACTGCATCGTCTTACTGCTTATTCCTGGGATTTCTTAGTGCAGTGCATTGAACGGCTATTAATGTAAGCTTCTTTGTTCTTGTGTTTATAATTTCTTATTAACATTCTTCATGTGTAAGGGGCCCTAGGAACAACATCTCAAAGGCCTAGAGCTTTTAGGATGAGCAAGCCCCTGTCTGAGCAGTGCTGGGTGGAAGGGGAGTTCCTTTTGGCTGTTACCTAGTTAGAGGTTATCATTGCTAGTATGACTCTGGGCACATAATAAGGAAGGAGCTGCTCTTGTATGATCCTGTAACTATGAGATCATCCAGGCAAATATTGCCCCCTTCCCTGTTTCCCCATCTTTGAATTATGGAACTACCAGGGTATCATCAAAGTGGTAGTCATACTTAAGTGCTTATTGTGGATATAGCTCCCAAGCTGGACATAGCCCTCAAAGCTACCAGCAGCCAGTTCCTAAGATTTGTACTGAGGAAAGGAACTCTTAGAAGGCTAAGAGTTAGAGCTTTCTGTTGTTGAAATTACAGTTGCAGTGGCTGCTACCTGGGCAGTGGGGCAATCCTCAGAGTCACCTATTAAGGAGTTCAGGGTGGTGCATGACTTTCTTGCAGATTCTTCTTAAGTAACGTATGAACCGTTTCCTTTCTCTCCACGTTGTAGCGCTCATGATAATGATGTGAAAGAAGCAAACAAACAGAGAGGACAGGCAGGACCTCAGTCAGCACAACTGAGTGTGTTCCAGACAGCCTCCCAGCCCTCTCGGGCAGTTCACTTTCAGCAGCCTCAGTATCTCCATCAGACGCATCAGACCTCACTGCAGTATCGCCATCCTGTATCAGAACAACCAAGCTGTCAGCAGATTGTGTCTACCACACACACCTCATCTTATACACTACAGACATGTCCTGCTGGCTTCCAAACTAGTGTTCAGGGCCTTGGGCACGTGCAGACTGGTGTTGGGATGTCACTAGCAATACCAGTAGAAGTTAAGCCCTGTCTGAATGTTTCTTATAACCGGAGTTACCAGATAAATGAACATTACCCTTGCATTACTCCCTGCTTTGAAAGGTGATTTTATGTGAAGGTAAGACCTGATCCAGACTGTTTGTGACTTGAAGCTCTGGGGCAAGCTTTTTGTAAACTTCTCTTCAAAAGGAAAGGGATCCAAATTGCATCGGAACTCTTCAGATGCCACCACCAGGAAGACTGAATGTCCCTTCCAGGGTACCGTGAATATCTGGGAGGACTAAGCTAATACTGCAAATGCTGTGTATGTCAGACCTGTTAAAACAAATCTCTGTATCACACAAATTTTAAAGCCCCAAATGATGGTCCAAATATTTCAAAAATATTCAACACAACAGAAAATTTGGACAGACTCCAATTTGCCATTTCTGGACTTGACCTGTGGTGGGCTCTGGGCCTAATGTTGGCTTATATGTCAGAGACTAATGTTTATCTGTGGACTTGCCAAACAAGTCTTTTTATGAAGGAAAGTTACAGTATTAATTTTTGAAGAGGTCCTTTTTTTTTATTCTGCAGTTTTGAGTTATATTTTTGATCTATAAATGAATTTTGACTAAGTTTAAACTCATGAATTGCTATGCTATACCAGTCTGTGCAGTTAAAATTTTTTTTAGATATTCTATATAACTTCCTATCACAGATAGTGTAGGTATCTGGATTCATGTACTAAAATCAAGGGTGGAGTAGATCTCTTAAAATCATGGTCATAACTTTTTGTTCTTGTTTTTTCCCTAAGTTATCAACCTCAAATCTTTAGAATTAAAACACACTTAACTCAGGGAATTTGTACTACTTGGAAACACTTAACTGTAATGCAACATGCTTTGGGAATGTTAGTGTATGAACTACCTTAATAACAAAGGTTAAAATACTCCTGCTAGAATGTGTTTTCAAACGAGAACATAACTGTAGCTTAGAATGAAGTGGTCGTTCCTATCATTCATAATACACATACAGGTTTTGCATTTCTCAGTGCAATCAATGATTTATACTGAGATTTGAAATTACTCTAAAAAAGTTTTTTTCAAGGGAAGGCATAACTGTAAACTATCAGTACCAGAATGAAGTCCTGTAGGTTTATTTTGAAGTGGAATGTGGCCAGGGTAGTTCTCAGGTTGTGCTAGAGCAGCACTTTGCTACGTGGAAGACAGGTTTTATAAGCAACCTTTGAATCTAGCCAGTCAGTGTGAGCAGGCAAAGGTGACTTTCATTAGACTGGCCCCAGCACTGCCCTGGGATAGTTCACTGTACTGGTAGTGAAGACAGCAATAAGAAGTCACTACAGCAAGGGCAATTTGGGGGTAAAGAGTTTGGAGGGAATGAACTTAAAAAGGAAAAACTCATTGAAATAACTGAAGCTGTACACATTGTGCTCTTATCTGTGGGAGAAGAGAGATTTGGTGGAGGGAAGCTTTCTGATTTAAAAATTAGTAAGGTGTGTCTTTGTGTTTTTTTTAAAAGATAGCACTTGAATAGAAGGGAAACTGCATGGCAGGTATGTGACTGTCACAATATGCATTGAGGACAAACTTATTATAAAGATGTTGTGGGTATGCAGCAGGAGTCTCAGTAATCAAGCCAATGGCTTCTGTTAGGAAGGGAAGGGACTCAACACAGTAATGGATTGATCCAGATGGCTCCAGTAGATGAATGTGGGTGGGTGGCTTCTGCCAGCGTGAATTCTTAGAGAATGTCCTTTCCTTAAAAGGTAACTTTTATAATTAGAGTACATAGGGCATGATGTGGATTTATTAGTATGGTAGGTAAAACAAAAAACCACTCAGGTAAGAACACTCACTCATGGCAGTTTTCAAACGTGAAAATTGTTTTCTGAAAGTGTCGTCACTTTCTCGTTATAGAAGGCTGCTAATTGGATTTTGGTAGTTCTTACCTCAAGAGAACTTGAATTATTTGGGGGAAAGAGGGTTCAAAAGAAAATGTATTTTTCACTTTCACATTCAGAACCTAGCAACCTGGAGTCCAATTTTCAGTATTTTAACTACCTCAATAATACTATTATGAATGTAAGATATTGGGATAAAGATCCCAACTTGAAACAACAACTGGTGCCTATGGTAATTTAATGTCTTGTCAAATGCTTTTACTGATTGGTTTAAATGTCATTCTTGTTATAGAAGATACGCCTTTTAAAAAACCTTATAATAACACTTTCCCAATTTATATTTAAAAAAGCTAAAGAACACTGGATGAAATTTTTTTGGAGTGGGTGAAATAAAATAAATAATTGGTTACTATTGCTGCATACCCAGGGTGGGGTGGGATGGGGTGGCTGGAAAACCAGAACTATTTTTAAAACATTATTAGGTTTCAGTACAACTCACAACTGCTAGCTGTGTGGGTTTTGTTTTGTTTAATTTATTGACTAGTCTTTAAAGTAGGTTTTTGTTTTTGTTTTTTGAGATTACTGGACCATCATTAAAAGTGTACTGTGAAAAAATTAATGATATGTATAAAAAGGGCTTTACCAAAGTCCACTAAATAAACACTACTCAAGTACAGACTGCAAACCAAAATGTATCTGTGTTACGACGTTAATTGCAAATAGTGAGTATGGTGCTAAGGTCTACACCAGTGGAATTAGATGAGTGCTATGCACTTAATTTTAAAATAAAACTAGTTTTCAGTAAAATGGTTTTGATGTTTTGTTTTAAATATAAATCTGATATATATCTGCAGTTTCTTTAAACCACGTCACCATGTAAGTCAGACTTGGAATCATAATTATACTTACTAAGTAAAGCCATCCAGATGGAGACTATAACTGTAGTGGTGGGAAACATTTGTCCCTTCATTATGTATTCCCTACTGAGCACCAGAGCCGACAAAATTATATTGGACACAGCTTTTTTTTTTGCCTTTTGAGCTTAAAATCAGTTGTTAGTATGTTAGCAACTGCAGCTTATAATTAAACAACAATGGAGTCATCTCAAGGAATAAGTATTAAACAATAATCCTGAAGTCATCTCAAGGAAAAGTAGGGACACAGAATTGATCGAGGGTGTGAGAGGGAACAGGGTCAACAGTGAATAAAAATGGTCTGTTCATTTAAGCATAAATATCATTTGCTATTTAATTCAACTTAAAATTTGGCAGAATTTGTTTTGAAGAGTAAAATTTTTAACAGGTTTGTACATGTGGGTTAGGAATTTACCCCTTATAAATCTCTCTAAAATTAGTTCTGTGTATTGTCACTTTTTCTGGCACATTGCCAGGATTTAGCAACAGCCGTCAAGACAGTCAGTTAATACATACCGTTCTTAAAACCTGAATTTAAGAAAAAGAGCAACAAGTATTTCAAACCAGGGCAAGAAGATTTACACTGATGTGATTCTAAGCCCTGTGTGACAGGTTTAAATTCAATAACTGGCCTTCTCAAGTGCATAGTGATAGACTTACCTCCCTGGCCTCAAGCAGCTTACATTTAACTCCATATGTGTAGCACACTTGAAGCTGTTAGAATGCTTATAGTCTGGAACTCAGTTTAAAATTATCTTGGTTAAGGTATCTCTTTAACTTTCATTTTAAAATCTCTTAGATTAAAAAAAATTAAAATTAACAAATACAGTCAGTTGAAAGCATAAGATCAGGCTCTGCTTCCTATGGGAAGGATACCTACTATAACCCTACTCCTACCTACCCTACCTTTTTTTAATTAAATTTATGACTTTTTAGAGCAGTTTTGGGTTCACAGCAAAACTAAGAGAAAGGTGAAAGGATTTCTCCCTTCCCCCACACGTGCACAGCCTCCCTGATTATCAATATCACCCACCAGAGGGTACATGTTAAAACTAATGAACCTACACTGACACATCATTATCATCCAGAGTCCAAAGTTTACATCATGGTTAACTCTTGGTGGTGCATATTCTATACCACCATTATAAAGGTATAAATGTGCAGTGGCACACAATTATAAGTGTATAATGACATGTATCCATTTATTTTCACTGCTAAAGGTCCTCTGTGTTCCACATATTCATCCTTCCTCATGCCATCCCCGCTCCCTACTCCATGGCAACTACTCATCTTTTTACTGTCTCAATAGTTTAGCCTTTTCCAGGATGTCATATAGTTGAAATCATACAGTATGTAGCCTTTTCAGATTGGCTTCTTTCACTTAGTAAAATGTATTTAAATTTCCTTCACGTCTTTTCATGGCTTGATAGTTCTTTTTAGTGCTGAATAATATTCCATTGTCTGAGTGGATCACAGTTATTTATCCATTCACCTACTGAAGGATATCTTGGTTGCTTCCAAGTTTCAGAAATTATGAATGAGCTGCTATAAACATCCATGTGAAGGTTTTACTGTGGACATAAGTTTCTAGCTCCAAGGAATGAGACTGCTGGATCTTAGAGTTTGTTTAGTTTTATAAGAAACTATGAAACTGTCCTCCAAAGTGTCTGTACCATTTTGCAATCCTACCACCAATGAATGAGAGTTCTGTTGCTCCACATCCTCACCACCATTTGGTGTTACCAATGTTCTGAATTTTGGTCATTCTAAGAGGTGTGTAGTGGTATCCAATGTTGTTTCAATTTGCATTTCTCTGATGACAAAAGATGTGGAGCATTTTTTCATATTCTTATTTGACATCTGTATAATCTTTGGTGAAGTGTCTTTTAAGGTCTTTAGCCCATTTTTAAATCAGGTTCTTTACTTACTGTTGATTTAAGAGTTCTTTTTATATTTTAGAGAGCAATCTTTTACTAGATGTATTTTGCAAATATCTTCTCCCAGTATATGGCTTGTCTTCTCACTCTCTTGACATTGTCTTTTTGCAGAGCAGAAGTATTTAAATTTAATGAAGTCTAGCTTGTTAATCTATCATCACTTAGAGAAGAGAATTACAGCTACTGAAAATCTGGCTAAATAAATAGAGAATTGAGGGCATTATACAATCAGGGTATTACAAAGGTGAATAACCATGGGAACAAAAATACAAACCTTCCTAATTTCAAAAGAAATACACACAGAAAACAAAGCAAGGAATATATACAGTAAAATATTTTAAAAGGTCTAAATACAGAATGTATTAACAAAATAATATAATACAACTAAGACTCAACATATCAAATTAATAAATGAGCTAACCTCAACTATTAAAAAAATTTCAGACTGAATCACAAAGCAAAGCTCAAATTGATGCTATATGAAAGTTCTACAATAAAAACAAAATGAATGGTTGAATAAAGGAGGAAGAGGAAAGAGATGCTAGAAAAAAACAAAAAGCAACATCTTAATAACAGATCTGGCTGGATTCAGGCCCAAATTAAACCAGACCTAGAAAAAAAGGTGGGGAGGGTGCACTCTGTAATGCTAACGGTTCCAATTCACAGTAAAAATGAACAGTTATGAATATCTGTGGGTTAGATAACCTTGCAACAATATTAAGTAAAAACTATGAAAGATAAAAGGAAAAATAAAAAAACACAGCAGGAAACTAATTCATCTCTTTTGGTCCATCAGAGACCAGTAATTTAAAAAATTAGATATAGAAAATCTTAATAACATATTGTGATAGATTTAATTGACATAGATTGAGAAATTCTGAGAAAGGAAATGGTACAGACCTGGCATAACTAAGATGGATAGGACAGAGCCTGTCATCCAGGCCAAAGCAAAACCCTCAGTCTTCAGAAGAGGCCTTAGACAACTGGGATTGCTTTTCTTTAACCCACCTAGGTGTCTAAGATCAGAATACCTTGACTGGTTACTTTGCTGGCTGCCAACTAATTTGCAGTTCACCTCCAAAAAGCAAAATCCATGGTTTCCAAACTGCAAAAGTTCCCAAATAGACCTTTAAAACAAAGGCTATAAAGAAAGATAAAGAGGGACGCTATTTAATGATAAAAAGAGCAA